AATTCCAGTGTTTGGAAGGATAACATAACAATTTTAATGTTTGGAAAGATAAGATAAGAATTCTAATGTTTAGAAGGAAGAGATAAGAATTCCAATGTTTAGAAGGATGGGAGAAAAATTCCAATGTTTTGAAGAATGAGATCAGAATTCCAATGTTTGCAAAAACAAGAGAAGAATTCTAATATTTGAAAGAATAGTATAAGAGTTCAAATGCTTCAAAGTATAAGATAAGATTTCCAGTGTTTGAAAAGATATGATAAGAATTCTAAAGTTTGAAAGAATATCATGAAAATTCCAATGTTTGGAACGATGGGATAAAAATTTTAATGTTTCGAAGGATAACATAGGATATCTAGGGTTTGGAAGAATAAGATAAGAATTCTAATGTTTGGAAGGATAAAATAAGAATTCTAATGTTTGGAAGCAAAAGATAAGAATTCTAATAATTGGAAGGATGGGATGAAAAATCTAATGTTTGTAAGGATAACAGTAGAATTAAAATGCTTGAAAGAGTAAGATAAAAATTCCAATGTCCGGAAGCATAGGATAGTAATTCTAATATTTAAAACGATGGGATAAAAATTCCAATGTTTTGAAGAATAAGATCAGAATTCCAATGTCTGGAAGGATCAGAAAGGAAATCTAATGTTTGAAACAATGAGATAAGAATTCTAATGTTTGGAAGGATAGGATAAAAATTCCAATGTTTGGAAGAATCAGAAAGGAAATCTAATGTTTGGAACAATGAGATACGAATTCTAATGTTTGAAAGGATAAGATAAGAATTCTAATGTTTGGAAGAATAAGATAAGACAAGTATTTTAATGTTTGGAAGGACGGGATAAAAATTCAAATGTTTGCAAGGAGAACAGTACAATTCGAATGTTTGGAAGGATAAGAAAAAACTCCATTGTCTAAAAGGATAAGATAAGAATTCTAATATTTAATAGGACGGGATAAAAACTTTAATGCTTCAAAGAATAAGATGAGAATTCCATTGTTTAAAAGGTTAAGATGAGAAATCCAATGTTTGAAAGGATAAGATAAGAATTCTAATGTTTGGAAGGATAAGATAACAATTTGAATGGTTGCAAGAATAAGATCAGAATTCTACTGTTTGGAACAATGGCATCAGAATTCCAGTGTTTGAAAGAATAAGAGAGGAATTCTAATGTTTGGAAGGATAACATAAGAATTCAAGTGTTTGGAACGATGAGATAAGAATACTAATGTTTCCAAGGATAAGATAAGAATTCTAATGTTTGGCAGGATAAGATAAGAATTCCAATGTTTGGAAGAGCGAGATAAAAATTCAAATGGTTGCAAGGGGAACAGTACAATTCGAATGTTTGGAAGGATAAGGAAAAAATTCCAGTGTCTAAAAGGATAAGATAACAATTCTAATATTTAATAGGATGGGATAAAAATTTCAATGCTTCAAAGAATAAGATGAGAATTCCATTGTTTAAAAGGATAAGATGAGAAATCCAATGTTTGAAAGGACAAGATAAGAATTCTAATGTTTGGAACAAGGAGATAAGAATTCTAATGTTTGGCATGAGAAGAGCAGAATTCTTATGTTTCCAAGGATAAGGTAAGAATTCTAATGCTTGGCAGGATAAGATAAGACAAGTATTTTAATGTTTGGAAGGACGGGATAAATATTCAAATGTTTGCAAGGAGAACAGTAGAATTCGAATCTTTGGAAGGAGAAGAAAAAAATTCCAATGTCTAAAAGGATAAGATATGAATTCTAATATTTAATAGGATGGGATAAAAATTTCAATGCTTCAAAGAATAAGATGAGAATTCCATTGTTTAAAAGGATAAGATGAGAAATCCAATGTTTGAAAGGATAAGATAAGAATTCTAATGTTTGGAAGGATAAGATAACAATTTGAATGGTTGCAAGGATAAGATCAGAATCCTAATGTTTGGAACAATGGGATCAGAATTCCAGTGTTTGAAAGAATAAGAGAGGAATTCTAATGTTTGGAAGGATAACAAAAGAATTCAAGTGTCTGGAACAATGAGATTAGAATTCCAGTGTTTCGAAGGATAAGAGAAGGATGTTACTGTTTGGAATACAATTATTAGAATTCCAATCTTTGGAAACATAAGATCAGAATTCTAACGTTTGGAAGGATAAGATAAGAATTCTAATCTTTGCAAGGATAAGATGAGAATTCGAATGTTTGGAAGGATAAAATAAGAATTCAAAGGCTTCGAAGGAAAAGATAACAATTCTAATGTTTGGAAGGATGGGAAAAAAATTCTAATGTTTGGAAGAATAAGATAAAAACTCTAATGATTGGTAGAACAAGATAAGAATTCCAATGTTTGGAAGGACGGGATAAAAATTCCAATGTTTGGAAGAACGAGAGAAGAATTCTCAAATTGGGAAGAATGAAATAAAAATTCCAGTCTTCGGAAGGATAACATAACAATTCTAATGTTTGGGAAGATAAGATAAGAATTCTAATGTTTAGAAGGATGGGAGAAAAATTCCAATATTTGGAAAAATAAGATCAGAATTCCAATGTTTCGAAAAACAAGAGAAGAATTCTAATATTTGAAAGAATAGCGTAAGAGAAGAATAAGATAAGAATTCCAATGTTTCCAAGGATAAGATAAGAATTGTAATGTTTGGCAGGATAAGATAAGAATTCCAATGTTTGGAAGGACGGGATAAGAATTCTAATGTTTGGCAGGATAAGATAAGAATTCCAATGTTTAGAAGGACGGAATAAAAATTCCAATGTTTGGAACGACAAGAGAAGAATTCTAACATTTGGAAGAATGAAATAAAAAGTCAAGTGTTTGGAAGGATAACATAACAATTCTAATGTTTGGAAAGATGAGATAAGAATTCTAAGAATTCTAATGTTTGGAAGGAAAATTTAAGAATTCCAATGTTTAGGAGGATGGGAGAAAAATTCCAATGTTTGGAAGAATAAGATAAGAATTTCTAATGTTTGGAAGGATAATTGTAATGTTTGGAAGCAAAAGATAAGAATTCTAATATTTCGAAGGATGGGATGAAAAATCTAATGTTTGTAAGGATAACAGTAGAATTATAATGTTTGAAAGAGTAAGATAAAAATTCCAATGTCCGGAAGCATAGGATAGTAATTCTAATATTTAAAACGATGGGATAAAAATTCCAATGTTTTGAAGAATAAGATTAGAATTCCAGTGTCTGGAAGGATCAGAAAGGAAATCTAATGTTTGGAACAATGAGACAAGAATTCTAATGTTTGGAAGGATAAGATAAGAATTCTACCTTTTGGAATGATAAGACAATTCCAGTGTTTTGTAGGATGGGATAAAAATTCCAATGTTTGGAAGAATAAGATCAGAATTCCAATGTCTGGAAGAATCAGAAAGGTAATCTAATGTTTGGAACAAGGAGATAAGAATTCTAATGTTTGGAAGGAGAAGAGCAGAATCCTTATGTTTCCAAGGATAAGGTAAGAATTCTAATGTTTGGCAGGATAAGATAAGACAAGTATTTTAATGTTTGGAAGGACGGGATAAATATTCAAATGTTTGCAAGGAGAACAGTAGAATTCGAATCTTTGGAAGGATAAGAAAAAAATTGCAGTGTCTAAAAGGATAAGATAAGAATTCTAATATTTAATAGGATGGGATAAAAATTTCAATGCTTCGAAGAATAAGATGAGAATTCAATTGTTTAAAAGGATAAGATGAGAAATCCAATGTTTGAAAGGATAAGATAAGAATTCTAATGTTTGGAAGGATGAAATAACAAAATGGTTGCAAGGATAAGAATGGTTGCAAGGATAAGATCAGAATTCTAATGGGATCAGAATTCCAGTGTTTGAAAGAATAAGAGAGGAATTCTAATGTTTGGAAGGACAACATAAGAATTCAAGTGTTTGGAACGATGAGATAAGAATTCCAATGTTTCGAAGGATAAGGTAAGAATTTTAAAGTTTGCAATAAAAAGATAAGAATTTCAATCTTTGGAAAAATAAGATAAGGATTCTAATGTTCGGGAATATAAAATAAGAATTCCAGTTGTCGGAAGCATAATTATGAGACGAATTCTAATATCCTGAAAGATAAGATAAAAATTCCAATGTTTGGAAGGATGGGAAAGAAATTCCAATGTTTGAAAAACAAATAAGAATTCCAATGTTTGGAAGAATAAGAAAGGAAGTGTAATTTTTAGACGGATAAGATAAGAATTCTCATGTTTGGAAGGATAAGACAAGAAGTCCAATGGTTGGAAGGATATAAGAAAAATTCTAATAATTATTCTAAAAGATAAGATAAGAATTCAAATGTTTGGAAGGATGGGATAAAAATTCCAGTGGTTAGAAGAATAAGATCAGAATTCCAGTGTTTGGAATGGATAACATAGGAATTCTAATGTTCGGACAGATGAGAAAAGAATTCCAATGTTTGGAATGATAAGATAGGTGAAATCGAATGTTTGGAAGAATAAGATAAGAATTCCAATGTTTGGAAGGATAAGGTCTGAATTCTTGTTGTCGAAGACTAAGGGCAGAATCCCAATGTTTGGAAGGATCGCATTCAGAATTTTAATAATTGGAAAGATTTTATGCAGAATTAAAATTGTTGGAAGAAAGACACGGAATTTAAATGGTTGGAGTGATGCCAGTTAGATTTTAAATGTTTGGAAGAATAACAATCAGAAATATTTCGAAGTATGATTTTCGGAATTTAAATGCTAGGAAGGATGACATAAAATTGAAGTCCAAATGTTTGAAAGAGTGTCATTCTCAATTCTAAAGTTTGAAGTGATAAAATAATGTTTGTAAGAGAGGGGGCTCATGGATGGGTTGTGGGGATTTGCCAGCCATGGGGGTAGTACTCTATCTAGGGGCTGGCTGGCCACAGTGAAAGCCCTTGGGTATTCCCTGGCACCCACCTTCAACTTAAGTGAGACAGTTGGTTAAATTTTTGGAAGGATGACATTCAAATGTTTAAAATTATTTTATTATTCTAAGTCATTACCTGAATGGTAAACTGTATTCAACTTTGTTCTGTTCCCTAACCACTGTTGCGTTCATGGAAGAGTGAAGGCTGCCCTTGCATGTTACATATCTCACTGTGTGTTTGTCGAGTTGCCAAGCAAGCACTGAGTAAAGTAACAAGAGACAATATTGTTACTATCTTAAAGTAAAGGAACACAACCTCTCTTTTCACAGGGACAACACTTGCCGCATGCAGTAACAAAAAATAATAAATTACATATAATGATAACTTTTTTATTGTTGAGAATTCTCTTTAACTTTTTGTTAAGCTTTTAATTGTTTATGTTTTACCGACAGTACAAAAAAATATTGATTCCCAAATTTTTTTCACACCACTCCCCGAGAGGAAAATGAGTCATGAACTAATCATAACTTGATTTCAAGATCTCCCCCAGTTACTGTTATCATAATATTATTTTTTATATGGTCACTTACGGCCATTCGTTTCCACAGACACCCCTTTCCATGACCTCCAATCACAATTCCTCCAATGCAATAACTGAAGAGCAAAGAAAGGTTTTGTCACACAATAAATTGCACACTCAGTAAGAGGCAATTATAAATTAAGCGATTAAAGGTGCTATTTCATGCCATTTGCTATCTCTTTGTAAAGCTATAATGTGTCTTTGCATCATTGAATTCCAAAAATAATGGTACAATTCAGTTATTTAATACTGTTTTAAACCACTGAAATTGTTCAATAGGATGGGCAGATATGGATTGAAACTGAAAAAAAGTTAGTCCAACTTTTTCAAGTTTAAAGGGACACAGTCAGCTATGGGACCACGTGAACCTGGATGCTACTTTTGCCAGTTTAAAAAGCATTTACCTCAACCCGAAATCAAATCTACGCATTGGATACATCTAGAAATCCACTTCAATCCTACCTAGTGTTTCATTCAATTCTGGACCTTTTACTAATCCTATTACATTATTTTATCACATTAATTGGTCAAAATTAGTATTCAAAGGAACATAAACAGAAGAGGTGAGAAACCTGTAGGCACCGGGTGGGAGAAATCGCCTTTGTTTACCAAAATAACAAGAGAAATGAATCAGTAACATCGGCGATAATCATTATATAATTTTATTTGGAAAATGGATGGAAAAGGTTACACATATTTGGAAAATCAGGCATTCTTGACCTTGAATCTTTCACAATCATTCAGACTTCTTGCAATTTCTCACCTCTACTGATGTTCGCATTCGGAAGTATTCGTCGATGTTTGGCTTTCCCTGGAAAAATCTATCGGTGAATTCTCAATGGTATATAAAAAATGAGTGCTCTGATGTGGCTTAGGGCCTATAATCACGATTTTGGCACGTAACTACAATATTGTAGTTCAACTCTTTAAGGTTTGTTTAGAGGATTCCGGATACGCTTTTGTTTCACGCGCGTCTTGTGACAAATCAGCTAAGAAATGGTATCTATGCACATGTACATCAGCTGACTGTGTCCCTTTAATACTATGTCTTATAAAATTTCGCCCTAGATAAAATAATATTATTTCATATCTTTTGCACAACTCTATAAGAGAATTAATTTTTGTGTATGGAGACTATAAGGAGCTAAGTAATAACTTAAACACAGAATGGACTACCAAAGAGATGCATGTTTTACACCCAACAGCTGGATTGTTTCAATTGGGTCATTCGCTTGTAACTGTGTCAGTAATGTGTATAGAGGGCGTGTATAGAGGGGTGGAGTGGAGGCCATTTATACATGAAGGGCACACATACTCTGTTGCCTGCTGGACTCAAAATACAGTCAAACAATAAGTAATGTTTTAAGATCACAGAAAGGAGGTGCTAACTCAAAGGCAAGAACTTATTTAAAAATGGCACTATTTCAGGCATTTACAGTAACCTCTCTTATGCTTCAAAGCTTCTGATGAAAGATCGGCCAAAAATCTCACTTTCTTTCAAAAGATCAGCCAAAAATCTCACCTTCCTTCAAAAGAATCACAAGTTTGTGGCATTCACTCCAACAGAAATACTGCCCTGCAAAGAGAAAAAAAGTTAATACAGCTTATGTTGAACAACATGAAAGATCAAAGTACGGGTGAAGAAGTAGTTAATATAAACAACATCACTTGCAAAATGACTCCATTCACCTTTGGATTTGTAAGCTGCATTCTTCAATAATTATTTGTAAGCAGCATTCTCCTTTTCTCTGTGGAGATGCTCATATTCTTCATGGATCTGTAAAAAGTAACCCATAATATTGAACACAACAAAGAAAACAATCTTCCGTGACATCATCTGTGTATCTGTGCTCTAATAGATCATGGTCAATGACTAATCACAGCACCCGTAGCATTCACATCATTGTATAAAACAACTTACACTAAACAAACCACAGTTATAACAATAATACATACTGAGAAATACTCACCAAAAACCTGTCGAATATTTTCATATGCAAATGAGTTCTAGCCAATCAGAGGAGCAAACAATGTTTTCCACACATGAAAAGAAAAGAATCTGATACTTTAATAGGAATACTCCTAAAACAGTGTACACGTATACTAGGAGATAAAAATAAATAAATAAATAAATAAATAGTAATTATGGATGAAAGAGAAAATTATTTACATGTCAAATCTTAAAACAGATATCTACATTATAAAATTACTGTTTACAAGATTTTATCTACACTAAAATTTAATATCATAACAGCCTACATGTAATAATGCTGAGCATTATACCATTAGTGAAGGGAAAAATCCGTAGTTACAGGTAACTTATTCCAGGTTTACAACTGGACTAACCTCACCCCACAAACAATGTTGGACGCGTGTATCCTACATTTGTTTCGAGTTTCAAGTTCAACTTTGTATAGGGTGGGGGGAGGGAGAACTGCAAGAAAATTTAGAAAATGATGCACTGTTTTAAGAGGGAACCGACAAATGACAGAAAAATATGAATATCGCAGTACTGTCCCGAGGACTTTTGTCCAGGATTGTAGCTTGATTTGGTGAATATTCCATTTAGTATATGGGTTCCACACAGAGCAAGCAATGCCTTGGATTTGACATCTGTGGAACAATCCGCCAACACCCTTCTCAGAAGACCAACCGTGCTATTAGCCTTATTACAAAATTAATATTATCACAATGTTGATCCCAATTCAGATTATGAGTTACAGTTACTTCAACATATTTGGTGGAGGCTGATTTAGCAATAACAATATCATTCATGGGATAATTGTTGGAAAAGGAAACAACCTAATCCCAAAGTGATAACATTTGGAATTCGTGTATTTCTCTGTTGACAAAGAGAATAATATTGTAGACAGCCCACTAAACAACAGTGGAAGGGGAAAAACAGAATGAGACATAATTATGCTCACAGTGCAAGTTGTTCTTTTTATCTGAGCTACTTTGTCTTTACAGTATATTCAAACATTGCAGATCACAGTCTTAATCTTTTTGTAAGCTTTAGCATCAATGGTTCAAAGTAAAACATCAAAAGTTTAAATTACGATTCCTTTTGACAAGAAAATAAAAATGTAGAGCTTTATTTGCTTTTGTCAACTCACTGTGAATGTGAATGGGAAAGTTTTTTGTCACTTCTTGCAAATGCTGTTAAAATTACAGCAGCCATTGTCAAGGTAAGTATTGTTTATCTGCAGTGTTCTTAGACATTTTAATTTTTGAAAAATTAATATATGCCTTCCTTTTTTCTACATAAATTAAATTCTATTTACAGGCAAAATTGGTCTTGTGAGGGAATCTCAAGTGCACAAAACAATGACAAATCAGCCTTGTTAATTTTGCTCTGTTGTGGTAAACATTGATTCGAGCGCATAAAAAGTCAGCTACAGTAAATCACTCCACAATAAATCACACTGTTCATACACCATTGAGTCTTTTCTTAGCTTCAGAATCATCAACACTAGGATATTCCTTTATTTTCAAAAAGTTCTTACACTGAAACTTTAGCAAAACACCCAGTTAAACAACAATTTTGTTTTGCTTAATATTCAATGCCTAGCGTGACGAACATAAAGTCATAGTCTGAGAGAGCAAACCAATCAGATTGCTGAATTACCAAGTGTGTAATACTGTGTGTGTAATAATAATAACATCAATAATTATTATTACATATATCGAAATCGGGCATTTAAAGCAAATTCATTATTTGAGTAGAGGCAAATTGAAGCATTTTGGAAAGATTTAAAACAAAAGGTCCGTCAAAATGATGAATATCTCAGTACGTATTATAATAAACGCAATACAATATGGAAAGTGCTTTAATGAATGGTACAGTTGTGTATATACACACTCATTGTTTTCGTATCAGAAATCCCAGTTGTTCTCTGTGCTCACTTGTTAGATTTCTGATACGTCAACAACTCATGCGTAAATACTATCCATGAAGTATTCCATATTTTATCTACACTATTGAGGTTGTCAACACAGTTAACACAAACACAGTATACTGTATTTCGGAGAATAAGAACCTCAAAGCTTTTTAGCTAAAAGGAGAAGTGCTTATTGAAAGAAGGGCACTTAAACAGAGGGGGGGGGGATGCTGGTAATAAAGGGTCCTATTGTACATTTTACACACGTTTGTATTGGTATAAATGTTTAGAGGTGGAACCTTTAAAATAATATTTATAAATCGAGTGGCAATTGAACAGTGCTCCAAGCTGCGAGCATTTTGGTCGCCATGCGAGTAGAAAAAAAATTTTGGCAACCTGTGTTCAGGGATCATGTGACAAGCTATTCCCAGAGAAATTCACAATATTTTGCACCACACGTTTTTCTAGTAGATAGTGTTAATTACTGGTATCTTTCAAGTACAGCGGCTTAGCTAGAGAATTATGCGATTTTTGATACAAGCACCAAACTTTGTAGGAATATTTACTTTCCCATGCTGGTCAATTCCTGATGTAGTGCAAGTTAATTTTTTTCATTCTAGCCAGTTAGCAGCAAATGAAATTATCAGACCTGAGACCCCCCACGAGGTACTTTGTCTTACTCTTTTTGTTTAAATTTAATTTACATCTTATTTCAAAATACATGTACAACAATACAGATGTTAAATTTTCATGCGAATTGTAATTTCTCTATAAATACAGGCCGTAATTTGGAATAATTATATATGATCTGAACATGCTTTTTCTACTATTTTACTTGGTTCTGACGGTTAAGAGTTTGTGTTATCTCATTCTAAATGTGCATGTGACTCCATGGACAGTACATTGAACTTTTGTTAAAACAACACGCGTACTGCTTACGTTATGCACATTTTCAACAGTTTGAGACTCATCTCTTTTTCACAGTGACCATCTTGTAATGTACAGTGAGAGGTGCACCGTGCAAAACTAGAGAAGCACCTTAAGTTTATTCCATAATGAAAATGCGAAATTAACTAGGCAACAAATAGTTCAGTCAATCTAGGCATTTTTGAGGCTCAACGTCAAACTATGCAACAGAATTGTTTTCAACGCCATTTAAGTAAGGGTGGCCTATCTAGCAACATACTAAAAACCGCCAAAATTGGTTCGGCGGAACATGTCAAAATTAAGCGTTAAACATTTTGAGCTTTTAACACAGGGCTCCCACGTTAGTTGAAATTATATGTTTAAACAAAAATGCCCAAAATGTGTTTGTTACTTTTATGGAAAAGTGAAAGAAGAACGAATACTGTAAAATTGCGAAAATAAGCCCCTCCAAATATGAGTCCCCCAAACCCGTAACACAAAAACCCTCTGTTAAATCACCCCTCCAAATAATCCCCTAGGAGCTTGTACTTGGAAAGTTGCTCTCAAATACAAAGTAAAACAAAGCAAAAACGGTAAATTTACTTCCAACTACAAGGCTAGCCCAATCGAGTTTGAAACGCAAATTTCCTTCCGTGGATAAGCCCCTCCAAATATAAGCCCCTCCAAAATGAGCCCCTCAAAAAGGGCTGCGGCCTTTGAAAAATATAAGCCCCGGGGCTTATTTTCAGAATTTTATGGTAACTACTACCTAGCTTTCAGTGATAAGTATGAAGTGTTTCTGTGTTACAAAAATAGGCAGTCTATGACTGCATGTGGCTTACTGTATCAGAGATGACGTCTGACATTTTCAGACTAAGCTAAATCATAATGGAATTAACACCAAGGAAACCAGAGTAGAACAAATAGCAAGAAAACTATGAGTATGCAGTTCTAAATATATGTGACTTGTAGGTACCATTCAAATGGTAAGTCAGAAAATAACAATAACGAGACTACCTGCTGACCGAAAGCAGTATGTACACCAATGTAACGTTGTGATCAATCTGATCAAATCTCGCAAGTCAGAGCACTATTCGTCTATTATTAAAGAAACCTCTGGTAATCAAAAAGTTCTGTTCAAAACTGTTCAAAAGCTACTTCAAAAGCCAACTGTTAACTTCTATCCACCCTCCGAAAATGACTGTATGCTAGCTGATGAATTGGCTACCTTTAATTTACTGCTAAGATTGATACACTACATAATGATCTCCATGTTAAAAAGAAGGCTCTTATTGATTCGGCCGAATATGTTTCTGATGAGGTACTCACTATATCTTTGACTAACTTTTAAACTTTAACTGAAATGAAACTTGATGACATCAGGGAACTAGCTGCAACAGTGTTCTCGAAGTCCTGTGTCTTGGATCCATTACCATCTTCCATCATCAAACAATGTACAGACCTATTGCTGCCTACTATTACTAACATCGTCAACCTCTCTCTCTGTGAAGGCTGAATGCCTACATGTTTGAAATCTGCAGTATTGTTCCTCTGCTCAAGAAACCTGATGCGCACTTTTTACAATTCAAGAACTTTAAACCCATATCGAATTTAAAAGCGCTATCGAAGATTATTGAGAAGAATGTTGCTCTTCAGTTAAACAACTATCTGATGAACAATAACCTACATGAGAACTTTCAGTCAGCCTGTAAAGTACATCATTCCAATGAAACTGTCATGGTGAAGGTACAAGATGATATTCTGCATGCAACTGACAGCAATAAAGCCGTTGTACTACTTATGTTAGATTTATCTGCTGCATTTGATACTGTGTCCCATGAAATACTACTGGATAGGCTGTCTCAACATAAATGGTATTACAGGGTCTGTACAAGAATGGTTCATATATTACCTGTCATCTCGTACGCAATACATTCAAATTGAATGTTCAAGATCTTCTTTACATGAACTTAACTGCGGTCTACCGCAGGGGTCCGTCCATTGGCCTCTGTTATACATTTGTATGTTTAGTACACTTCACCAGTGGCTGACATTATCATAAAGAGACACAATCTTAGGTACTATCTCTATGCTGATGACACTCAGCTCTATGTGTCATTTAAATTTGGAAGTGATGATCTTCTCTCCCCTGCTAAATCTAGCATTGAAATATGTGTAAAGGAAATCAACAATTGGATGATTCTTAATAGTCTTCATCTAAATGAGGAAAAAACTGAGTTGCTTCTACTCAATTCACGTTATCAGCCCAGTCCTTCACTGGAATTTGCTCGTGTTGGGGGTGAAACTATTCAACCGTCCTCTTCTGTTCGTAATCTTGGAGTGATACGCGATCCCAGTGCTGATGTGGAAGACCACACTAAAAAGATTTGCAAGACATGTCATTTCCCTTTAATAAGTAATATTAGTAAGATAAGAACATATTTGGATCGTGAATCTACTGAAACAATTATTCATGCTTTTGTGACTACCCACTTGGATTACTGTAATGCAATTCTATATGGACTACCTAAATTTCTCTTGAACCGCCTACAGCTAGTTCAGAATAGGGCAGTGCGCATCGTAACATTCACCAAGAAATATGAACACATAACACCCAGCTTAATAGACTTAGATTGGTTGCCTGTTGAATACCGTATTATTTATAAAATCTTATTTTTAGTATATAGGGCTATCAATGGACTTTCACCAAGTTAAATATCCAATTTGCTCAGTTTTTGTAGCAGCTCCTACTCTTTGCGTTCATGCTCAAATAAGTCCCAAGGTCTAAGCTAAAGTCTTATGGTGATCGAAGATTTTCTATTGCAGGACCTAAATAATTATGGAACAGCATACCCGTATATTCTTTAAGGAATACCGATTCCTTGAATTCTTTCAAAAAAACACTTAAAGACACATTTATTTCACTAAGCTTTTTCTTAATATATAAATAGATTTTTATTCATTTTTTATACTTATATATGTCGTTGTTAGATTTTTTAGAGTTTTAATCCATATTTTGTAAAGCCCCTAGAACAGTTAATGATATAGATGCTAATTATAAATAAAGTTTATTATTATTATTATTATTATTATTAACAAAAAGTTGAGTTAAACGCAACGTAATAGTTTTTATTTGAGCAGCTTGTAACAATAATGAGTATTTCATACTTTAAGGTTTGTATTATATGTAAATCGTCTGAATTTTTTAAAAAAGAATCAGTAACTATGATTACATGTATTTCAAGTAACACTGTTTATCAGACAGGGCAATAATGCTTAAACGAAACAACGACGCTAAAAATTACTAACACAGCTAAACAATACAACTAGGAGTGTAAAACTGCACTATAATGTAAAACGTAAACAAACACGCTAAGAAACATGCTAGGTCATGAAAGAAGAACAAGTGTGACAAATAGCAAGTGACTTGTGTCAAGAGTCATGATCTGGTCATGATACGAAACAAGAGACGAAAACAAAAGCTAAATGATGTCAAACTGAAACGCTGTGATCTACAATCTCGAACAAAAATGTGGCAAAACCAAGCAGTAAGCTAAAGGAATAACAATGGCTTCGTTCAGATGAATTATATATCATTTTTCACTTTTTTGTTGACTTAAAATAGAAGCTATAGAAACTATCTTCTCTCCTGATGAATCTTGTTTATCGGAGTTTATAATTTGCACCAACACTCATTGTAAAACAGATGAAACATTTTCTTACACTTGTGTCTTAGCTTTCTAAATTTCAGTGTATAACTTTTTTAATTGTTCTTTCCAATGCACAACAATGCAGAGTTTTTGAGCAGGTTTAGCTTCAATGCCTATGAATTTGATAAGAGGTAAATGCATTTTCATTTAAGGAAAAGTGTTGTTACCTTCGCAAAAAAAAAAAAAATATATATATATATATATATATTTAAATTAACGGAACATTTATTGCATAAGAACTTTGGTGCCAGCAAACGTTTGTTTCAAGAAAATGAAATACAGTCATTGGAGTATAATGAGGAAGCAGGTTTTTAAGGGAAAGATTAACTCTGGGTAGCCAAAACAATGCGTATATAAAAATATCTTGTAAGAGGCTATGGAGTAATAGAAATTTCCCATGCAGAGCATAATTAAAGCAGCTTAGTCAGAGGGTTAACATGCAGTAAGCTGAAGTCTGTGTTACACAATGCTCATCCGAAGGGAAACATAGGTTCTGCAAAAAGAGGTGAGCCATCAGAAAGTAAGTCACGCAAGCCCATTAATGTTGTACATGTGTACAGTACCTTTGCGCTTTCATTGACAGCTGCAGTTATTTTCAGACGTATAGGATCCTATGATCGTTATAGAAAAAGAGGTCTTCATTTGCCAAAGGACAAAAAAAAAATGGGTCAAGGTTCAGGGTTGTTCTCACAAAAGAAGTGCAAGGAGGGAATGTAAATACCTTTACACCGCAGAGCGATTAATCTACTTATTCATCTTATCAAGAAATGCAGGGCTGCCGCAGAAAATACAAACTGAACACACAGATACATGTATAATAAACTAAATCTGAGACTTGCCACAAGAAGAAGATAAAAAGAGAACAATCACACTGCGCACTCTTGGTTTTCTGGATTTTCTTTACAACAAATTTGGCCAGTTATAATGAAAAGCGCAGAGCGCCATGATCGAGCAAAAACCAAATAGACGGACTCCATAGCAGAATATTTATTCGCTCACATGATAAAGTGTGGAGTCATAATCCTAAAGGAAGTGCACATGTCATGAGAAAAAAAAAGAATCCCTTGTGTCCAAGGTTTGAACATAACTACCTCACTAAACTCAATTGCAGAAAATGGGAATAGATTAAACAGTTTGTACTGATAGAAAGCTATTGTCCATTGTACTCAGTTAGTCGCACATATCCTTCAGCGTGGATGCAAATTTACTAGCTGACTGAAGGTGAACAAAATATCAAATCAAACTGTTCACCATCAGTCAGCTACAGTTGTACTAAATTTGAATCCATGCTGCAGGATATAAAAAAATTACAGGCCTGTAAAACTGCTAAAATATTTACTGCATTTCTGATATTGCACACAAAAAAACAATTACCAATATTTTTAACAATGTTACCACAGACTGACTAATAATTTCCCTTTTAAATACCGTCATAGCAAAAAAAAAATAAAGCTTGGAAAACAGAATGCTAAAGACAGATGAGTGGCTGGGTAACCAGTGCAAAGCCGTCAAGACGAAACACTGACCCAGGTGTTTCTCGCACATTTAGTTGGATTTTTTTTTAAACAAAACCACCCAAAATACATTAGTGACATTGTATTGAAAATTCTTAAGAAAAAAAAAACACAGTTATCAGATGTTTTGTCTGAATTTGTGATCTTCCTGAAATTGGGTCTCCTGTAGTGAAAGTTGAAAAATAATCTTTATTCCCAATTTTTCTCATGTTTCACCAAACCGATTCTGGCAGATTTTTAGTATGTTTTTAAATAGCCATCCAACAACAAAATGGCATTGAAAAAAAAATTATGTTGCAATTAGTTTGATGCTAAACCAAATTATTTGACTGGACTAAAAGCATTGTGCAAAGATGTAAGTTTTACAATAATGCAAAAATTTTTGTGTCACTGTAGAGTTTTCGCTTTGTTTTATTTTGAATTTGAGAGCAATTTCCAAGTATTAGGAAGGGCGATTTATCGGAGGGTTTCTTGCGAGTTTGGGGGGCTTACATTTGGAGGGGCTTATTTTCGGAATTTTATGTTATTTACTAGCTGCAATAAGGTATCAAGACACAGTGCTTAAAAGTCCTCTCATTATCCACTCTGCCTTAATCCTTTGTAGGTCTTTGTACTTAAGCCATGTTTTGATTTGTTCTACATTATATCCTCCAGGATCTTGCTCAAATTTTGAACCTGGACCACTCCTCAAAACGTCAAAAGGGCCAGCAAAACTGATAGCAAACTGTTTTTTTTTTCATACAGTACTCTTGCAAACTCTTGCAGAAATAGCCCACGTTTGTCTGACTCTCGGTAGGGGTCACGTTTAGGTGATATCATCTGTGCACAGCCCTTTTAAATTTTTTACTCCTTAAATGTGGTGTTTATTCAAAGTGGTCCTTACCTGAGGGCGGCATTTATTTATAAGTTCAAAAGAATAATTTCTTTTGAATTACCAGTATAACTAACAGAAACATTTGATTGGATTAGCCTAGTGCTTATACGATGGGCGGGGTAAATAAAAACAATAAACTGTAGTGCATGAGTACCATACCTTCACAAGCCTTTTGCTTTTTACTGAATAACTCAACAGGAATCTATCAAAACAAGTGCAAACAAACTGTTGTTTATACTATCACTTTTATGAAAAGGCAGTAATCATTAGCCACTATGAGGATAAGCAGGGGTACTGGCATGATTTTTACATGTAAACTTAATCTTACTGCCAAATTACAATGTCTACAGTGAAACAATCCTTCATTCGACTACCCAGAAGCCATGGAACTCTGGTGGTATTTAACCCATTCGCTCCTGAGCCGCGATCCTAAAAGCTTTCCTAAAAACAGCAACTACCACCATTAGCTTCAAAACACGTTTCTCGGCAAAATTCCCAGGAGATGGTCATATTAACAAGGTTTTCAGAAAACGGCTGCCTGTTTTTTAAAGTTTGGGTCAAAGAACCTTGTTTTATTTCATGGTGAAGGATAGCTGTTAAGGAACAGAGGAGTTTGACGCTTCACAAAAAATTGTAGGCCCCCAACCTTTCTCGACGGCATCTGTATCTTTGAACTTTGGTGACAGTTAGAAAATAATATTTTGGCGGGCGAAAAAAGTCGTTCGCACTAGAAATGGCTCCCTGTTAAATTTTTTTTGCAAAACAAAGAAAACTTTGCTTTGTGCCAACAGGGCCTAATTTTTTTTAACCTTACTTTCATTTTCGCGGGATCTTGATATGATATAACATGCACACACGTCTGTACTCTGTAAGCAGCTTTAAGCTCATTATGGTTTAACTGAAATGCAATAAAATACAATTTACACGATTGATCAAATATTTTTCTACTTGTTTCTATCTGAAAGACTATTTTTACCTCATTTCTGACGTTCAAAACAGCGTAATAATCGACCTCTTCTTCTGGCCCCGCCATCTTTAAATTTTACCGCTGAAAATCGGCGGCTCAAGATTATGAAGTACCTACCATTTTGAAGACATCCTGCTGACTGATAGGACTGCGGGCATTTTCGAATGCCCTGATTGGTTCAAATCAGATTCAGATTAAGATTTGACTATATTTCGAAGAACAGCATTGCCTGTCAAAAAAGATACAGAAGTATTGGATGTAGCCCTAATGGATGTTAAAGTCCGACGAGTAAATCGTTTTCAAAATATAAAGTTGCGAAGTTTTAATTAGACCTAATTACATAAATGAATTCCCAAGGCAGGACAGTTAAAAAGAATAGCCACTCACAAATAGTGCAGCTGCGAAGAATTTTGCTGTCAACCGAGGCTTGGTGGACTTGGTGGTGAAATTTGCTCGTCTTACGTAATCACGCATGAGGACCGCAAATTATGGGAGTGCATTCGATAGGGGGGGGGGGGGGGGTGGTAGTGAGTGGTAGTGGTAAGAGGGTGCAAAATCTGATGGGCTTGTAAGATTGAGAAATTTAAATCAAACACTTTTATCAATATGAAAATCAGCAGCTGTCTTTATCAGTGTTATTGCTTATCCCCCCTTAACAATTCGTGACTATTTCATTTTTCCTCAAAAATGCATGAACGTACTGTATTTATCTGGGGCGGATCTGGGGGGCGGGGGGTTCGATGGAACCCCCTAAGTTAAAACAGCTAACGTCAAAAATTTGTAAAATATAAAATAAATACAGTGAATCTTAAATATAATAAATGCAATAAATTCATAACAAAGTTAAGCCTCTGCTTCTCAATAAACCTAATACGTTTTCTCCATAAAAAATACAATAAAATAATATAAAATAAATTTTTAGTTCACTGTGAATGTGGCTCTTTTAATTGTTTCTTTTCTCGTGCTTCTGCGCCAGGATTTCCGAGGATCGATCGATGCAGGAAAGGAAGTAATTACGCTATTCTACCGCATGCGCATGGTTCTCGTTTTCGTACATTTTGGAACGCCAGTAGTGGATCTACATGATCTAGGGAGTGTAGGGACTCCCTTAAATGGCCCCTCAAGATAACAGATTTCCAGGTTGTTTTGTAGTTCTTTAATTGCGAAAGACTACATTCAACATTCATCTGGGAGCCAAAACCCCTTATGAGGTTATAAGGAGAAATACGTTTTAGTTCTGAACGTCGGCTACATCAGTAAGTCTTAAGAGTTTGAGCATAAGGTCGCTATCGATTTCCCAAGGCCAAACCCGGACCCGCCAGATATTGAGGGAAGAGACCATTTAGTAAAAGCATTATACACAAAAGGAAGCTTAAACACAATCCGATGCGAGACCGGCAACCAAAGAAGTTGCACTAGTGTCACACCAGTAACAAAACGAGCAGAACAAAGTGATTGGTTCCATTGGCCTTACCAGGGGCGTAGCCAACCATTTGTTTCCTACCGGGAGCCCTGAAGGGGATGAGGTGAGGGTTTGTAGGTAAAGAACTATCAGGTGGATTGGTGCAAATGGATCAATGCAGAATAAAACGTATGTAGTTAACCGCAATGGGATGAAAATAGAAGGAATAAAACACAACCTGGGGTAGCAAACATCAGAAATAACAAATGCATTGTATAACTGACTTTTATAATATCGAACTTGACGTTTCGTATGCTTCAACATACATCTTCAGAAGTGTCCGTTAACATGAGTGGTAACTAAATTTAAATCAAAAAACAAAGTAAGATAAGTAACTAATTAACGTGAAGGAAAAAAAGTTGTGACTACTCATGTTAACGGTCACTTCTTAAGATGTATGTTGAAGCATACGAAACGTCAAGTTCGATATTATAAAAGTCAGTTATACAATGCGTTTGTTATTTCTGATGTTTGTAACCGCAGTTTGTGTGTTATTCCTTTTAAAACTGAGATGGCCCGCAAAAACCAAGAGGATTAACGGCATGAAATTAACTTTGTTTGGTAGGAGCCACTTCAGGATCCATGGTCAATTCCTTAAAGTAAGTGCCCAACACCTCTTAAAAACAAGACAAACAAGGAAACAAGGAGTTTTAATCTAAATGATTCCAGCAGGTAATAAAAGTAAACAAAGGGGACCCCTGCAACCCCGGCTGTAAATACACCGTCTTTAAATAGGAATTAATCCCAAACATAGAACGTTTTCTCGACTTTATAAAACCATAAAATTCATCTTTTGGGCCTTATCACAGACCCAAATGGCTGATTTCCCTACCCTTTTATATACTTCAACTAGTGTAATCCCTATCCTTTCATATACCAGAAGTCTGAAAAAGTTACCCCTTTCGGGCGGAGCCTCCCAGTATAGGCCATCATGGGAGTGCCCGTGTTAAGTTAGGGGCACTCAACGTCAATTTTCGAAAATATCTGTTCGGAAAACGAATTGAGGTCTAGACTTTTCGGAAAATTTGTTCTAAAATTTCTTGCTTGCCTGCCTCTCTTGCCCATTTGTAACGGATTTTTACACTAAAAAGGTCACCTAGAATTTTCGGGAGCCTTTTTTCTAGCTGAAATTTTCGAAAAAGTAAGGTTTGATCCGCATAATTTTCGGATCACTAGACTTTCAGCTAGGAAATCCGAACAAACGAGGAATTTTTAGGAGATAAAAATATGCCTATATCTACCATTTAAATACTGAAATATGTTTAACAATGCTATGTTTAAGTGGATTTGAACTTTATTCTCGTTGGGTGCCCTTGTTAAGTGCAAATTCACAAAATATTAACGTGCGATTACTTGACCTGATTGTAACGCAAATTTTTGTTAAGCTCGGGCTTAAAGGCAGCTACGCCCCTTCTTATATTCGGTATTCTTTTCCATTTCCTAAAACAACCAATCCTGATTTTCAAAAAGAGTAAGAGAAGTCTTAAAGTTTTTTCTTCTTACTTTTATAAGTCGATAAAAGCGGTACGAATGTATAACGCCGTTAACTCTTTTATGATTGCTTTGGCACTGGTCCATTTTAGTAAAAAAAAAAAAAAGGAATCTAACACTATACTTCCGCCTGCCAATACAATATAAAGTGCACTTTAAGGATCACATAGTTCACAAATTATCCAATCATTAGACAATAAACCAACTACGTAGCAAACAAGCAACACGAACGACTTTGTAAACGCTAAAAGCCATGCAAGAGAGAAACTTCTGCTCGCAGCTGAGTACAGTCAACTAGCTCATCGGTTCCTTACAAGCTATTGTTCATGAGCAGTCCAAAAGGTCAAGACAATGGCGGAAAAAAAACTCAAATGGTACGATATCTTGGAGGTTCTTTTTGGAACCATTGTTAGCTTTGCAGACCCCATCACTGATATTCTCACACTAGTGGAATTCTACCTCGCAGATCACAAGACATGGTTCGGTGTGGGGCTTACATTCATTATTTTTCCTTGTTTGGTTTATGTCATAAGTCATGCTGTGTTTGAATCGAGAGATGATGAAAAATCAGAACAGGAAGAGCGCCAGAGTAGGGCTTGCAAATACACATATATTTTAGTCCTTGGATGTAATCCACTCTTTCCGGCCTGGCTGAAACTGCGAACGTTTTTTTTCTACCTAAAGAAGTTACTAAAATTCAGGCAAGGTAGCAACAAGGATCAAAAGGGTGAAGACTTCGACGGTCTACTGAGTTTAAGCAAATTCGCTGTTCTGGCCGAGGCCGCTCTTGAATCAGCTCCTCAGTTTATTATTCAGCTGTACGCCATGGTTGTTCAACAGGAATCGGTGTCGATCATTCAAATGGTTTCCCTGCCCGTGTCTTTCCTTAGCTTGGCTTGGGCGTCTACTATTGCTGATGAGTTCATTCACAGTGACGGAGGACACCTCTATTTCAGCGTCAAAGAAAGAGTTCTAATGTTTTCAACGCACTTATTCATTTTAAGCAGCCGACTCTTTGCAGTTGCTTTGTTCACCGTAAGCTACAAGTGGTGGGTTACCACTGTTTTGATCTTTCACTGTACGTGGATAGCTGTATGTGACACCGTTTGGCATAGCAGAGGACGAGGCTGTGACAAAGGAGTCAAAGGACGGAGCGCCTGTGTGTCTATTTTCCTTTCCTGCTTCAATTGGTTACGAGATAATTTGTCAGTGGTGATAGTCGTAATAGGTGACGACGGAACAGAAAACAGAAACAAACATTTAAGAAGAATGCAACTGGTCTCCAACGTACTGTTTGTGATAGAGAACATAACCATGATCCTGTTGTTCTATTTCAGTCATTTTCGTCACACCTGGTTCTCCTTACCAGTCACCATCTGTGTCTGTTTGTTTGCTGTTCTTGGAGCCGTAATAAGGCTTACTCTATTCTATTTCATAACGAAGGAATCAGATGGTCGCCGATCCACGAGTACCCAAGGATCATATGCACTGAGTAGCTCTCGTAAAGTAACCCCTCCGTGGTTGAAGCAATATATATGTGAAACATCGGTATAAATAGCCTGACTTTGTATAGTACGTCTCAAGTTAATATGTGATCGGCGATAATGTTGGCTGAGACAGTGTATAATGTTTAAAGGGATAGGTTCACGGTTAAGCGCATGTTCATTAATTAAAGTACTTTTTTCCAATTTATTATTAATTCTATCGGTTAGTATTCCCACTGACATGTATCTCAGCGATCTCAGAGTGTATTTCAAAGTAGAATGGTATTCACAGTAACCTGAAGTAGGCTGGAGGATTATTAAATAAAATTAGTGGATTATGCCAACACTGACTAACGTTGAATTTATTTACAGCTATTTGCAAATATTTAAGTTGATCAAGTGCAAGTGACTGCCAGGGGAGTGTGCAGATTGGTTCTTTGACAACATTATGATATGATGATATTTCTTGCATAGACGATACAGCATGCCCCGGCAGAGAAACAGCACTTTGATAAACGAGCATGCACTGAACCGTGAACCTGTCCCTTTAATAACCGCGACAAGGAAAAGTAGTGTCAATTGAGACTCAAATTTAAGCTATGTTCTGTTGATTAACTCACCGTTCTTGCTTGTACTCATTGGTCAGGTACTTAGTATTTATTGTTGATTTAATTAGTCCAACCTAAACGAAACGAAACGAAACGAAACGAAACGAAACTAAACCAGTGGTGGATCCAGACCTTCAGATAAGGGGAAGGGGTGCGGTCATCCAGACCCTGAGATAACGAGAGGGCGGTGTCAAAAAGGTAAAGTAAAGGAGGGCTCGGGCCCCACGGACCCCTCCCCTGGATACGCCACTGTAAACTGAAGTTATTCTAAACTACACTAAACCGAGGCAAATATTTCTTATTTACCAGATTTACTTGGTCATGCGTGTAGGGTACGTGTAGAATGTGATATCAAGCAATTTTGATGGCTCATGGTCATTTTGTTTATTGGCTGGAGACATGAAGCGAAAGGAAAACTGATTGCTTCTTAACAATGTCAAGTTGGGGCTAGCAGTGAATTTTAGAAAATTGACTTTGTGATTTTGATATCCCTGTGGCTAAAAAAAAGAATAGTTCTTTGTAATTTTTAGATCACCGTGGCTACAAGAACTCAGTTATTGTGTTCTGAGACTGGACAGCTACAGGACCATGGTGAATTTTCAAGATAGAAAACCTTTGCCCCGTCGTGAGCAAGCAAATGGAAATATAATATGTTAATTTTTTTCCAATCAATCAGATTACACTTTGAATTTCGTATCACGCCGTTTCTAATATTGTTAACTATTAACTATCTTCTAACGGCGACGTTAACGTGACCGTTTAATTGAAACCCGAGATCATCTCCCAAGGAGATCGAGAGTTAATAGTTCACATGACAATATTAGAAACGTGATACGAAATTTGAGTGTCTTATTTACGACACGCCAGACAAGCAAACGCATTTTGATAAATGTTAACCGTCGCTGATCGGATTCAAATGCGTTCTAAAACGACTCATAAAGACACAGGAAGACAGCTAAATACATGTTATTATTTTATGAGTTAACAATACAGCGTAAAATACATTTAAAATTATTTTATTAGCTAATACAGCGTTCGGGTTGCCTGTGACGAATGTTAAACTCTGACAATAGATGGATCGAAAGGCACCAATTCCTGGTTACGAGTCTTCACCGCCAATAACATCATGAATTGAGCAAATGAAAAGTCAGCTGAAAAGTTGATTAACCAAAGATTGACTTGCCTGCGTGCAGACGTCTCCTATTTCCTTTGTTGCAGGCGGACCACACAGGAGAGATGTAACACACATTTTAAGTAAGGTGAGTTCTTTTTTATTGAAATACTTTCATTTTCGTAGGTTACAGAAACGGTAGGTTTTTTCCCATACAAATCCTTATATTTTGAATATTACGCAACAATGCCGATGCACGTCGATGCTCATATTTCGAGCTTGGGCTACCTGTGGGTAAACCTTTATATAGAGAGAAAACCGTTTACATAAAACACCATAAAACGGCCATAAATCGGCCCGTGGACCACACAGGAGAGACGTAACACACATTTTAAGTAAGGTGAGTTGTTTTTTATTGAAATCCTTTCATTTTCGTAGGTTACAGAAACGGTAGGTTTTTTTCCCTTACAAATCCTTATATTTGGAATGTTACGCGACAATGCCGATGTTCGTCGATGCTCATATTTCGAGCTTGGGCTACCTGTGAAAAAACTCCATCAATTTGGCCAAAAGGCCATACCAAGACAAACAATGCGTAATCAACAAACTAATGAAACTAGAGCTTGAAAAAAGGTAATAAAGCGATTCTATGACAATTAGGTGGATAACAAGATGGTAAAATCTGTTCACAGAACTACATAAACTTAAATTAGACAATAATTCTATAAATCTCGATCTCAGTCTATAGTACGGTCAAGCAAAATGGTAGGCGTCGCTCCAACAGGCGTTCAAATCCACTTTTCTCTCTTCAGGCAATTATAAATCAATTAAAACTTAAATCTGTATTGTACAGTAACATTCGTGTACCTTTGCCTACAACTAAAGAAAAAGAAACTAAATCATGTACATGTAATAAAGGAAATCATTTACGTATCGGTCCCGCTTGTACCAAACAAATCACAAAAACCATGTCACGATGCGACTCCCCTAGGCCCGTTTCAAACGTCGTGCTACTGCCGTGCCGAACTAAATTGATCGAATTAAATTCATTCGACTTTGAGTTCGGCACGGTACGGTAGCGCAACGTTTGAAACCAAGTCGTGCCACTGCCGTGTAGCACGGCAAGCTCTGCCGTGCTGCACGCCAGTAGCTCGACTTCGTGTTTCAAAAGTCGCGCTACTGCCGTGCCGAACTCAATTCATAAATTATAAATACATTGGAATGCGTTTAAAACTTTGCTAAGCCGTTTCTTTATTTTTGTGTTTTGATTTCGGCAACAGCCATTCTATTAGATTGAATTAAATTCGACGTCTGAAACAAAGTCGTGCTAGTGTCGTGCTGCAGTCGAGCCAGCCGTTAGCACGGCAGTAGCACGACGTTTGAAACAGGTCCTACTTGACTTTCCGGCCAAAAGGTCGCTAACGAGCGCTTTTATACCCACGTGGGGACGCCGAAATATCTCATTACAAAACTAACAGAAAATCAGGTAAACATTGAAACTACGCTAGTAGCTAGGATCAAAACACGAAAATCGCAAAATCAATGAAGGGTATTATTCTTATGTCTTATCTTTTACAAAACCTAAAAAGCAAAAAATAATAATTTCTTTCTTTCAACTGCGGTTTTTGCTTCAATCTTTAATCACAAGTGCGACTGACAGACTGAATTGGGCTCCTCTCACTCCTATGTAAAGCTTAATCAGTTTTCCAGCCAATCAGATCACACGTTCTTGTGATCAAAGCCTACGTAATAACTACAATGCATTTACCAAGGAGAAGTTTACCTAAGTACCCTTCCGGGAATTCAGCTTTCTTGAAGGGATAAAACAAAAGTATAAGAGTATACTAGTGTATTGGTTGTCCATGATGGGCCTGACCAGAGATAACAAGCAAGCTCAGTTAGGCTTTTTTAATTGGGCGCTCAAATAACGAGCATTAACAGAAATAAGATTATGGGGGTCACCACTTCGTTCATTATCCAATCAGTAAATCACTAGCTCAGACAAGAAGTTCTTAAACTCATTTTCTTTAGTCATTTAGAAAGTTCAGAGCAATGACGACAAATGCACTTATACGTTACGGCAAGAACTTTTTGTTTCTTTTTGGAATCGTTCAAAGCTTTGCCGACCCCATCACTGATATTCTTACACTGGTGGAATTCTACCGCGCAGATCACAAGACGTGGTTCCGTGTAGGACTTTGCTTTGTTATTTTGCCATGTATTTTTTTTACATTCATTCACTTGGCACACGGTGGTCAAAACAGTTGCCGTGGTTGGGGTTCATATGTATTCACACTTAGTTGCATTGTCATGAATCCACTTTTTGCCGGTTTTATTAAACTGACAGAGATTTTTGTCTACCTGACGCGGGATCCTAACAGAATCCAACCGTTTGACGGTCGACCGGATGATCCCGCATTCGGGGATGACTCACTGTGCAAAATCGCTGTTATAATTGAGGCCACTCTTGAATCAGCCCCTCAGTTTGTTATTCAGCTGTACGCCATGGCTGTTCAACAGGAATCGGTGACGATGGTTCAAATGATTTCCCTGCCCGTTTCTTTCCTTAGCTTGGCTTGGGCGTCTATCGTGGCTGATGAGAGAATTCACAGTGACCAAGGACCTCTCCATTTCAGTTGGAAGGATAAAGTTCTTCTCTATGTAACGCACTTCTTTATTTTTAGCAGTCGACTCTTTGCAGTTGCTTTCTTCACCGTGAAATACAAGTGGTGGGTTGCCAGTGTTTTAATCTTTCACTGTATGGTAGTAGTGGTATTTGATACAGTTTGGCTTTGCAAAAGAGGCCGAGACTTCGAAAGCAGGGCAGTGCTTTATCCGATTCTTTTGTTTTGCTTCCATTGGGTACGAGATGATCTTTCATTGACAATACGACTGAGCGAAGCAGAAAACAAAAACAACCAGCTAAGAATTATGCTGTTATTTTCCAACATACTGTTTGTGATGGAAAACATCACCATGATCCTGTTGTTTTATTTCAGTCATTTCCCTCACACCTGGTACTCCTTACCGGTCACCATCTGCGTCTGTTTGTTTGCTGTTCTTGGAGTCGGAATGAGACTTACCCATTACTATTTCTTAACGAAAGAATCGGATGACGATATGCATGTTTAAAAGCGAAAACGATTTAAAACCAAGCAACTCAATCGAGTGGCAGCCACCTCAAAAACTGACACAGATACGAAAGATACGTTTGACATATGATCAATTGTCTCCAATTGCAATATACAATGTACTATGCTTTTTTATAGGTGGGACAAGGGGCCAAAACTAAGAATCGATCGGTACGTGCGCTGGAAACCTCTTGGTACTGTATTTGTCTTTGACTTTGGTTATTGGTTTCTAATACAATGGCTGTGGGTGAAGCTTTTATCAGGAGTGGTCTGGCTAAAAGGAACTCCTCTAGTAACAGGGACAAATACTCGTCGTACTTATATTTCTAGACATAATTTCCTTTGCTTCTAAATTCGCCTGCCTTTCAATCATGGGTCATGTCGACTATCTGAGAGCCTGGGTTCACACAGGTGACAAGTTACCCAATCATTACGACGCATGAACTAGCTCAGGCAGGAGGCCCTTCAGACCCTTTTAAGTCATTCAGAAAGGTCAAAATAATGGCGGACAAATATAAGGAGCTCAAATGGTTCGTTTTGGAACATTGCATATCTTCTTGGTTCTTTATGGAACCTAATCACTGATATTCAGTTTCACACTAACGGGAATAATGGAATTGTTCCGCGCAGATCACATGACATCGCTCGCCATGGGACTCAGATTCAATCAGTTGTGTTTATATTTTACAACGTATGTTTTGTTTCAAACTCAAAGTATTATTAACTTTAAACGGAAGACATGGTTAGTCACGCGAGATCAATGCAGCTTTGCGGCAGCAATCCGTTCCCTCTGACTAGTCTTGGTGAAACTAGAAACGTTTATTTTCGACCAGAGGAAACTCTGTAAAATAAAATAAAAAAGTCCAACCACCTGATATCAGTGAAACTCTAGCTGACGAGAAAGAAATGTTATATTCTTATTCGCTACCCCGCTCAAACGAATATAAAACATTTATCATGTAACGAGCAACCACAATTGGGGTGTGTCAACAAGAGCCTTGTGCGACCCTCTTTATTATGCCTTCATCAACAGAATGGATGGAAATAATACAGCAAACAGAATGAAAACTCGGAAATGTAAATTGATCTAAACTATGCTCGTATAACAATGATTCAGTAAACATACAAAACGTGTTAAACCTTTCATATGGCAGCATGCAAAAAACTACGTCTAAGAGAAACTGACAACCCCTGGTCACTGGGAATTTAATTTTGAGGGCGTAGGGACGGTCGTAAGACGCCAATGAATATAAATGAGAACAACTCAAATATATATAAGCGATAGAACAGCATACCATATAACACCCCAAAGAAAAGGTTACATAACGCATGATAAATACATTATCCTGGTCTACTGTACTGCAGCAAATTAGCTCTCAAGTATGAGGCCGCTCTCGTTCATCGGTTTATTTTTCTATTGGACCCGCATGGCAGTTCAACAAGAATCGGCGACAGTCGTTCAAATACTTCGCCTATTTCTCACGCTGCCGACAATTGCGCTTTTCACTGCAACGTTATCAGAAACGTAGGTGCAAGTGACACTGGTGGGTCGAGGTGACGAAACATCTATATTCAGCTTGACTTATAAAAAAAACCGATACTAATTCAAAAGTTCAGTCCTTTTTAGACCCTTTGTCTGGGTATTTCCGACGATATCGATATCTCGACGATCCCTATCGATAAAACGACGATGATTAAAGCGACGATCGCCCTGCCAATCTGATCATGGACATCAAGCTTGATAGTCGTGCGATGATGGCAAAGGAATTTGCCAAAAAAGTGTGTTGACACGTTCAAAGTTTTTGTTTGCTCATTTTCGAAACTAGTTTCTTGAATGATGCCAGGTCTGAAGATCGTCAATTTGAGCTTGCGCTCGTCTTTAGACCGTGTTTAAACATCATCGCAAACTTTCTATAGAACTGAATGAAATCTTTCATGAAACTAGAAGAAGTGTTTTGCAACAGAAACAGTTTTATTTTTAAAAGTTGTGATCTTGAGAGGAAGCAAGTCGATCGAAAGAAAATATGTTAACGTTTTTTTTTTCATCGAATCAGATTACACTTGTGTGAGACTGCGGACTTAATTTATAGGGTAAACTAGTTTTACAGGTTTATGTGTAAGCTAAGTTATAAAGAGCCACTGAGAAGGCCACGATTGTGAGACCCAGTTTGATTATACTATAACTATGAAGTTGTACAAACTAACAGTTAAAATAAAACAATAGATTAAATCTTCTAATATGGTTGCCATTGCTAGAGTTACATATCAACTAGGTTTCTAAAGCAAGAATTCAAAAGACATAATGAAGATTACAAAAAATATACATTTGCCACATTCTTATATCCTCAATCGTTTCCCTCAGTTCTAGCCGAGAAAACCACCCTTTCCTTAAACTATATTATTATCCTATTATCCCCGAACCAACCTAAGTAAAAAATAATGCCATGTCCCTCAATCTTTGCCTACCCCATCCCCCTAAAGACCGTTACAGATTTGTTTATTCTTCCAATGATACTTTGTAAAACGAAAATGTGTTAAGATGGGGTGCATAAGTGGCCACAGAAGGGATAATAACTAGGATATAACAAGATTTATATTAAAGTATCCCTCTTTTCCCTTGGAAAGGAAGAGGAAGTAAACTAAGACGGACGCCTTTGTACCAGCATTATGTATTCATCTTATATAGATGTCCGTCTAATAAAGAGTCAGATTAAAGGATTACCGTTTAAGCGAGATGTCCGTCTCTATAGAGCTGTCCGTTTATCCCTGGGTGCTAGAGACGTTTCTAGCGCGGTTTCAGGCTTGTGGGTTTTCTTTATTTTCGCGTTTCATTACATTCCTATACTAATATGTGATTTAGTTTGGCTTCTTGGCAGAGATCGTGAAGGCGGAACACACCTGAAGTCATTGCTTTACGTATTCTTATTCCACTGGCTAAGAGATGACACATCATTCAGAATACTTGGAGCGTCAGCTCAAAACAGAAACAAAGACGTAAGAAGAATGATGCTGCTCTCTAACGTGCTATTGTGTGATAGAAAACTTCTCCGTGATCCTGTTGTTTTATTCCCGACCTATCCAATCGAACAAAACCGAACAAAAAACCAATCGAACCCAATCGAACTCCAATCGTTCGATTGGGTTGGGCAATCGAACAAAATCGAACACCTATTTTGCTGTGAGTTCGATTTTCGAACCAATCGAACCAATATAATCGAACAAAATCGAACTAATCCAATGCAATTGTCTCTTGACGCCTCAAACTGAGTAAAACACGTGGAATATAATCAGTGTCAGCTTTTATTGAATAAACAGGAACTGAACATCATACTGCAAGAATGTCAATGTTCGAACAAAACAAAACAAATAAAAGGCAATTTCGATGACTGTTAAGGTATTGTGACTGTAAAGATAAAGAATTCTTCTCCCACATCAACAGTAAAATTACATTCTTGGTAACCTTTTACACTGCATGTAATTTCAATACATGCAGTGTCCTCCCTCTCCTCCGTGTTTGACATTTCAGACATTTCAGTCCTGGGTTTCAGTGCTCAGCAAAAGCCGCGTAAAAAGGGAAGGGAGTTAGCGGTGATTTCACTTTCACCTTCGGAATTTTCCAATACCACGTGCCTATCATGCGATGCGGCGTCCGTTAATCGAACGTTCGATTACCAATCGTTCGGTAATCGAACGTTCGATTGTGTTCGATTGGCAAAATTTTATTGTGAATTCGATTATGTTCGATTGAGTTCAGCAATCGAAGGATTGGTTTTCGATTGGGTTCGATTGCCGAACTGTTCGATTGGATAGGTCGGGTTTATTTCAGTCCTTTTCCCCATACCTGGTACTCTTTACCAGTCACGATATGACTGTTCAGTGACTATTCTTGGAGCCGTAATGAGACTTACTCACTTCTAATTCTTAACGAAAGAATCAGATGGTTGATCAAATAATACTAGGTATCGTATGGTAATTCCGTCGAGGTTGCAGCATTACAAAACGAAGGTAGATTATAGTCTGATCTTGTATTGGTACGTCTGAATGTATCTGATCTCTGTCATCTGTGACATTATGTAGGCTAACTATAATGTTTAAGAGTCACAACCTGGGAAAGTAGTGTCAATTGGGACACACCTCAGCCATTCTGTTATGTTGATGTGACTTATTTACCGTACTTGTACTAATTTGCGAGTCATTCAGCATTTAATAATGAATTAATTAATTAGTTCAAACGTAACTATATGAACTAAAATCAAAACTAATACTAAACCGAGTCAAATGTTTCCTATTTACTTGGTCATGCTTGTAGTCTACGTGTTGATGACTCGAATGTGATCATCAAACAATAACATCGCTCATGGTCATTTTGTTGATCGGCTGAAGAAATGGAGCGGAAGAAAAACTGATTACATCGCGAAATGATTGTTTAAAATATTGGTTAACTGACTGACACCCAACTGAGGCTGCTGCACCATATACCAGGTGAATACAAGTCTCGAGTTACGTCACAAAGAACACAACAATGATCCCAAGCCTTTAATAATTATACAATAAACTCCACAGTCCACACTATAATACTACACAATAGACCTTTGTCACACGGCGGCCATTTTCTCCCAAGAAATTAAAAGCGCTTTGTATTTGAACGGATAACCTCGTTCTCTCAACGAGGCTAGCCTTGCATATGACTCTTGGGACAAAATGGCCGCGCGTGACAAAGGTCTATAGTGCAGCCATTTCGAGAATGGTTGTCGGAAAAAATGTCCACGCGACAGTCCCGAAAGGCAATATGGGATATGATCTATATACTTTTCCTCACGACTGCTGCTGTCGAATTCACTTTTGTTGCTTTCATTTAGCAGCCGTCACAAACATACGTCCATGGCCTCTCATGCCACCCACAATACCTTTAGGGATTGTCGTGTGCACTTTTTCTGACATACGGATTTGGTATATCGAACATCACCCTTAACTGAAGTATCACATATCATGACAGATGCCGAGAAAATAGCAAAAGGCAGTTGTCGCTGAAACCTCGACGATTAATTATATATTTAAAATCGTTATCACTATCGTAATGGTCATTTTTGCAACATAGTAAGAAAACTTTTAAATAAACTATACTAAAAAATACACCCCAGGTCATAATTTTACTGTGCAGTGCTTTGCATGTAAAACAGGTCTAAGGTTTAAGCAAAACCAAGGTGTCTAAAATTTGCAGCAACTTTGAAATTACTTATTGATTAGGAGGGTTACTAAAACAATTGGAAGAATGACACGTCATTGTTTTCTGCGACCAATTAAGGGAGACCTTCCGAGCAGCTCCTACACTACTCGATTTGGGCCATTAATTTGCATCACCTTAAAAACGCGAATAGTTGTAAAGTATAGATTATTAGGACTTTTGCATTTTACATTCTAAACATTCTGGAATGGCATATCTCCACCATATAAATTTAAACACAGTCAATGTCACCCACAACTTTCTTATTTCCAAAGAGTAGAAGAGAGGGACTCACCGCATTCCCTCAAATATTTTCAAATTTCGGCCTTGTTCAAAGAAGAACGCTATTCATTAACATTTTTATGACACCGTTTCCAATTCAATAGCATTCCTGGACAGCTTTAGAATGGATAAGACAAACATTAATGCGCTTTTAGTGTCAATGTATTTAGCTTAACAGTTAGCTAATTGCTGGGGACAACTTTTTTGGATGTAGGTTTCTTTCTAATATAATAAAGTGAACTTATCCAATAAATTGCATTGACACAAAATCTGTAAGGTATTCCATTTCTGATTCACTGGGTATTCTTATCCCAAGATCTAATGAATAGCGCTATATATATTTCTAATTATTTTTATTAATTTCTGTGAATTCCATGGAACTTCCTCTAGAGATCCATGAGAATTCGACGAAGTAGTTTCCACGAATTTGATGTCCTAATCCTCCATGGAATTTCCTTATGATGATTTATGATCACATGTCACTGGGTCGGGATCTCTTTCACATGAGCTGAAATCTGTTAACACACCGATTTTTTTTTTGCAAAAGTCTTAAACGTGAACTGCTATTCACAACGAATTTCCATTTTAATTCAATAAGTGAATTTTATGGGTCACATAGTTCACAACTTTCCCAACCATATGATAAACACGATTCAATAAAACAGGAAGTTCTTTAACCACAGTGTGTAACCTAACCTGCGATAAGGAAGAACCACGTGATCGTAGGTTTTAAGTTGTTAGCCTGAAAGAGCATCTGGTTGCTAGGAAGTAATTTATTGTTTTGTGCAGTAAGCAGTTGAGTCAGAAAGGTCGAAGTAATGGCGGAAAACGAACTCAAATGGTACGATATCTTGGAGGTTCTTTTTGGAACCATTCTTAGCTTTGCCGACCCTGTCACTGATATTCTTACACTGGTGGAATTCTACCGCGCAAATCACAAGACGTGGTTCGATGTGGGGCTTGCATTCATTATTTTGCCAAGTTTTTCTTTTCGCTAACTTAGTCTTTGAAGAAGACAGAGGCCAGTGTACGGTTTGGAAATACACACGTGTTTTAGTCCTTGGATGCAGTCCACTCCTTCCGGGCTGGATGAAACTGCAAACGCTTATTTTCTACCTAAAGAAGTTACTAAAACTCAGACAAGGTGGTAACACCGATCAAACGGTTGAAAACTTGGATGATCTACTAAAGGCAAGCAAATTTGCTGTTCTGACCGAGGCCGCTCTTGAATCAGCTCCTCAGATTATTATTCAGTTATACGCCATGGCTGTTCAACAGGAATCGGTGACGATCGTTCAAATGGTTTCCCTGCCCGTGCCTTTCCTCAGCTTGGCTTGGGCGTCTATTGTTGTTGATGATTGTATTCACAGTGACGAAGGAGACCTCAATTTCAGTTTGAAAGATAGAGTTTTACTTTTTGTAACGCACTTATTTATTTTAAGCAGTCGACTGTTTGCAATTGCTTTGTTCACTGTAAGCTACATGTGGTGGGTTATCAGTGTTTTGATCTTTCACTGTACGGCCATGACTATATGTGACACGACCATTTGGCTTTGTAGTCAACGAAGCTTTGCCTGCGAAGACTTATTTATAACAGTTTTAATTTCCTGCTTCCACTGGTTACGAGATGATTTGTCAATGATAGTAGGAGACGACGAAACAGAAAACAGTCAGATTAAACATTTTAGAAGAATGCACTTGGTCTCCAACGTGCTGTTTGTGCTAAGTACCCCCCATTTGAAGACTTAAAAGTGGTTACCTATAAGAAAACAGCTATATCTTAGGAAAGCTATCCTAGTCTTCAAATGGGGGGTACTTAGCGGATATGTTTGTAAAATGACGGTCTACGTTCATTTCATTACCAAGGGGCAAAAACGTTAGCACTTTAAAGCTCGCTTGTGAAAAAAGGTGCTTGAAGAATTTCTTAGTAATTAACATTTTAGGACATTTTTTTCCTTTTAGAACTATAATAGTTCATCTGGATACAGTAATAGAGATTAGGTTATAAATGTTCCAATGTCAACGATGGCCGGATATTGACCAATAACGCAAAACAAAAATACGAGGCCATTAGGAAGGCATAGACCTTTTACGCATTACGCTCCAGTGAAGAAACATAAAGAAAATGAGGACGAGGCTCGGGAGGACAATTTCATACAAATCACTGTATTTTGTCCCCCCGAGTCTCGAGTTGGTGTCTTTGTTTACAGGAATGCGGGAAAGGTCTATATGTTTGGTGTTTCAGTTTAACTAGCTCTTAAGGTTTTTGATCTAATTTGCTAGCCGGTATGTTTTCAGCAGGTCTGTTGGCATGCTAGATTCTAGAATGATGCCATGGTTTAAGATTGCAGGTGTCCCATGACTGAATCCCACCTACGCCAAACTGAGCTTGCGCTCATCTTTGGTCCGTGATCAAAAAACCTCGCAACTTTCTATGGAACTTTGTGAAATCTTCCGCTTGAAAGAAGACTGCGTGTTTTGCAACAGAAGCAGCCGGCTGTATTTTAAAAAGATGTGATTTCTAAATATTTAGTTTTTCGGAAAATAGTTCTTTGAAACTTTGATATCACTTTGGCTTAAAGTTTAGAAATATGTTTGAAATTTTTACATCACTGTGGTTGCTGTGTTTTGGGACTGGACCGCCGCAAGACCTTAGTGAAATTTCAAGACATAAAAATTTCATTTTCGTTTATTTCGTGAGTAAGCAAATCGAAATGAAAGATGCTAATGTTTTCCCTAACCAATCAGATTACATTTGTGTGATCTTACAGCTTGATATGTAAAAGAAGTTGCAAGCAGCTTGAGTTGGCGATGAACGTCGGAACTAGTGTGAAGCTAGTCAAAATAAAACGATAGATTTCTTCTTCTAATAGGGTTGCTATTGATACTATATTTATCAAAAAAACAAACTTGGTGACGGAATGATAAAACCGTTATTGAACTTGGTTATGGCAAAGAATCATGATTTTTTCAGTGTCTCGCATATCAATTATCAATAATGGACCTGCTCGCCTTGACAAATCACGATATTTTGCTCAACCTCTCCAATAATTCTTAATTGTATACATACTGACGGTTTATACATTCAGGTATTTTTTCTCTCCAATATGATTGTTATATTGCAAGACCTGATTACTACAACACCGAACTAGTATACATTTGTTAAGCTTATGTCAAAGTTTGAGGGTCTGAATGGGGTGGGGGGTCCACTTGTCGGTTGTCGGTTAAAATTCAATTAATTTGTCGGTAGTCGGTTAAAATTTTCGATCTTTGTCGGTAGTCCGTTAAACTTTTTGATTTTTGTCGGTTGTCGGAAAATCTCAGTTAATAAGTAAAAACGCTTGTTAATTATTAATTTTTTATGTATTGCACCCAGTTTCAAGACTTTGATCCCTAAGGAAAGAGTAAAACTTGTAAGAATGCATCATTTGATTGCACTTAAGTAATAGTCCAGATAAGAAGGAAAGGACCAAAACGCAGTGAACACGTCAGAATGCAAAAAGGTGCTAACTTTACTATTGTCTCTACTATGGTTCTGATTGGTTTAAACATCAAATTTTACGAAATCTTCGCAAAACAGCATGTATATTAATCCCTTTTTTTCTATCCCACTTCCTTATGACAAATTCTCGTCTGAGTCTAAGTAACACAGAAATCGTATGTGCGGATCATGTAAAATTGTGAACATTTCTTGGCCATTGTTTGCAACTCTTGTGATTGGTCGAAATGCACACACCCCTTAAAAGTGGAGTTTAAATACATTTTCTTTCGTAAACTACCTTTTTGTAGGTTTATGCATTCTCTGCGTGAAAATGAAAACATTTCTATGTGAGGAAAGCGTATTGCGCCACAACAAAACAAATTGCTTCCCTTCTTACCTGGATCATTACTTAAACTTCATTAACTCTTGTTTGTTTATGCAGCATGATCGTTTATTTCACCATCGTTTGCCAAATGAATATCATGAATACTGATAGAATCACCAAACCTTTTATTGTAAATGCGAACTTGGTTTCCCTGTCGATTACAGGGCACAGTAAAAAGTAATTAATTAAGTAATGGACTCCAGCCTTTTGGACTAAATTCAGTATTCTTAGTGAAAAACTGCAAGGGGTGACAGGCTGCACATCTATACCTTTAATGTTTTCGCTCTAACAAGCATGCCCTTTGCCATAATTTTCCTTTCTCAAAGAAATAACACTTTAACCCTCGGACGTACAAGGGGGGGGGGGGTTGGATGCCACCCTCCCCCCTTTATGTTTTTCTGGGATTTTTCCAAGAGGATAAAACGTCAGCACCTGACGTTTTCAGTAGATGTTCGTTTATCCCTCGCACGCATTTTGAGACAAGTTCAGTAATGATCAGTTTCTATGGTTACGAGGTATGACGTAATAAGTAGCAGGTGGTCAAGCCGTTATGAGCGTAAATGTACGTTTTTTCAACTTTTTTCAACAATAAAAGATAAATCTCGTAGCTAAAATCATGCAAAATGCTTATTTATGTGTTATTATTCATGTCAAGCAATTACCATTTCTCGTTGTTTTAACCTGATTTCTGATTCTTTGTAAGGGCGGCGAAGATGGCGACCATTGTTGGTGACGTAACAGGCCTCCAGCAGCGCCACCATTCATAAAATATACCTCATCTTGTTAAGAAGATCAAAGGCTTTTCAGTGAAGGCAAAATCGCTTGGAAATACGGCAACATATCAAAAACTCTGGGGAGGGCTTCCATCGATCGTCCTCTTGTATCATGGTGGGGGGTATGATTTTGCGTGTACGTCCGTGGGTTAAGTTGGCAAGGTAGTGGTTGGTTTTGTATGAGATTACACTTTTTCATTAAGGCTTCTTTTATAATAGACACTAAGGGCTTGTATTGTGTCACGAAAGGCAATATTTCTTTTTCTTCCTTGTTGTTTTTTTTAGGAGCGCTGCTTTCCTTCTGTGAGTTTTACTTCTAATAGCAATTTTTCTTTCAAAATTGTGTGGCCAGCCTCTGTCCATCAACCGCTTTTGGAAATCTGAAATACTTCCTCAGAGGAGTTTGTTCGTAATATAGACAAGGCTTCTCGTTTGTCAAATCCATTTTAACAATAATTGGGTGGTAAGAGGTGAAAATGTATATACTGGAAGGTTTCTGTTTAAAATGCGTCTTTACGTCAATGATAGCTTTTTCTCATTTTTCGTTGAATGTTGTGCCTTGGTATACAACCGGGTCTAAAACGATTGTCTCAGTGTCAGATATTTCGGTCGTAAATTTCATAGCCAGTGGAGCAGTAGGGTGAAGTATGAGAAGTAAGTTTACTTGTTCCGTGAATTTGAAGAAATCTACCATGTCTGGTTTATGTCCCTTAGCGAAAAAATATCATCTATGTAGCATTTTCAAACAGTTGGTTTAAAGACGGTTTTGCTTAAACTTTTTGTTTCAATATATGCGGCCATGAAAATGTTGGAAAGCAGGAGTCCATCAAACGGAGCCTCCATCGCCCATACAAGCTCTTGGAGTCAACCCTCCCCCGAGTAGATTTATAATAAGAACGGTTCCCAGGGGAGAATTCATGCGCCGACAGTGGGGGAGCCAATCACAACGAGCAAATGACGGTGCTATTGTACTTCATCAAACAGCAGGAAATTCGGTGTTGACAGGCCAAACACAATCATAAGCTACGGAAACGTGACGTGGAAAGGAAACTGCTGTATGTGCTCATCGCGGTACCGTGGTTTTTTACTGATAGTGCTTTCCATTAAACTGGAAAGAATTTTCTTTGAGAATTAATCTAAGCATTTCTCGGACCGAAACAAGAAACGTTCAGTAGTAGTAGGGCTTCAGCAAAGATAAGCCCCGTTGGTGCGTTCCCTTTGCGTTCCGTGTGCGTTCCCTCGCAAAAAGTGGGTTCCCTTTATTAAAATGCATATGGTCTAATCAATGACGTCACCTATTGTTATAACCTGGGAAAAAGTGCCTTCCTCCATACTAATTAAGGGCCTTCCTCCATATATAATAAAGTGGATAGGTTTACTAATGAGCGTCACTCTACTACAATAGGAACAATAGGCTTGCCTAGACTTGCCCGTGAAGTAACTTGAGCTCGGTTTTCGGACAGTCTATTAAAAGGAAAATAGGAATAAGAGAAGCGATCACCTAGAAACGCGAGAAACGGCTTCCTATCTCTTATTTAGCGCTAAAACTCAGATATATAAACAAAACACATGTGCACAAAGTGGAGTTGAAAAGTCTTTATTTCCGTTTAGTTTATGTCTTCTTATTGAGCTCTAAAACTCGGATATATGTAAACAAAATACACAAAGTAGAACTGAAAACTCTATTTCAATTTTGTCTGACGTTTTCTCCGTTCTATCTCGAGGAAATGAAAAACTATTAAAGTCTTGTAATTTCACGCACTGTTAGTCAGTTAATTATGCGAGTTCACAAGCCCAAAGTTGAATACAAATTTGCTCTACAGGAAAGACCCAAGGGAGCACCTTGACGTATTATTATAAAACAAATAACTTAACAAGGATCAATTAAAACACGCGACTAATAATTGCTAGCAATAAAATCTGACACGAGATACCGTTTAAAACAAAAAGAGTCAAATACACAGCGATTTGAAAGAAATCTATTAAAACAGTCAAAGAAAGCAAGTCATGTTTTACTTACCCCTCTCCCTTTTCAATTTTATTTCCCTCCTCAATTTTTTCTTTTTCCGTTCTCCACAATTTTATTATCTTCCCTCCTCAATGTTTTTATTCCCTCCTCCACAATTTTTATTATTTTCCCTCCTCAATGTTTTTTATTCCCCTCCTTCACCTCCACCTCCTCATTTATTCTATATATTTTTCCATCCACAAATACATCGACCTCCTAGCGACCCTACATCGACCCCACATCGACCCTACATCGACCCTACATTGACCCCACATCGACCGCACATCGACCCTACACTCAACCTTTTTTTTAACACTGCTTCGTAAATAGTGAAGCTATATACCACCACCGCCACATTTCTATTGTTTTCCCACCACCACCAGCACCGCCACCACCACCACCACCACATTTCCATTGTTTTCCCTCCACCACCACCACCACCACCACCACCACATTTCTATTGTTTTCCCTCCAACACCACCACCACCACCACCACATTTCTATTGTTTTCCCTCCACCACCACCACCACCACATTTCTATTGTTTTCCCTCCTCCTCCTCATTTTTATTGTTTTCCCTCCTCCTCCTCATTTTTGTTTTGGTACAGTAGGGGTACAGGAGGGGTACAGGAGGGCAGCACAGGGCACAGGAGGGCACAGGAGGGAGGAGGAAACAATAGAAATGTGGTGGTGGTGGTGGAAGGTGGAGGGAAAACAGGGGAAGGAGGGGTGGTGGTCCTGTACCCCTGGTACCCTTCCTGTACCCCTACTGTACCCTTCCTGTACCCCACTGTACCCTCCCATACCCCTACTGTACCCCACTGTACCCTTCCTTCCCCTACTGTACCCCTCCTGTACCCCTCACTGTACAAATCCTGTGGTTTGTACCCCTCCTGTACCCTCCTGTAAAACCCACCCCCACTGTATCCCTGGTGGTACCCCCCTCCTGGTGGTGTACCAAATCAAAAATGAGGAGGAGGAGGGAAAACAATAGAAATGTGGTGGTGGTGGTGGAGGGAAAACAATAGAAATGTGGTGGTGGTGGTGGAGGGAAAACAATAGAAATGTGGTGGTGGTGGTGGTGGTGGAGGGAAAACAATGGAAATGTGGTAGTGGGGTGGTAGTGGTGAAGGGAAAACAATAGAAATGTGGTGGTGGTGGTGGTGGTGGTGGAGGGAAAACAATAGAAATGTGGTGGTGGTGGTGGTGGTGGTGGAGGGAAAACAATGGAAATGTGGTGGTGGTGGTGGTGGTGGTGGAGGGAAAACAATAGAAATGTGGTGGTGGTGGTGGTGGTGGAGGGAAAACAATTGAAATGTGGTGGCGGTGCTGGTGGTGGTGGGAAAACAATAGAAATGTGGCGGTGGTGGTATATAGCTTCACTATTTACGAAGCAGTGTTAAAAAAAAAGTTGAGTGTAGGGTCGATGTGCGGTCGATGTGGGGTCAATGTAGGGTCGATGTAGGGTCGATGTGGGGTCGATGTAGGGTCGCTAGGAGGTCGATGTATTTGTGGATGGAAAAATATATAGAATAAATGAGGAGGTGGAGGTGAAGGAGGGGAATAAAAAACATTGAGGAGGGAAAATAATAAAAATTGTGGAGGAGGGAATGAAAACATTGAGGAGGGAAAATAATAAAATTGTGGGGAAGGGAAAAAGAAAAAATTGAGGAAGGAAATAAAATTGAAAAGGGAGAGGGGTAAGTAAAACATGACTTGCTTTCTTTGACTGTTTTAATAGATTTCTTTCAAATCGCTGTGTATTTGACTCTTTTTGTTTTAAACGGTATCTCGTGTCAGATTTTATTGCTAGCAATTATTAGTCGCGTGTTTTAATTGATCCTTGTTAAGTTATTTGTTTTATAATAATACGTCAAGGTGCTCCCTTGGGTCTTTCCTGTAGAGCAAATTTGTATTCAACTTTGGGCTTGTGAACTCGCATAATTAACTGACTAACAGTGCGTGAAATTACAAGACTTTAATAGTTTTTCATTTCCTCGAGATAGAACGGAGAAAACGTCAGACAAAATTGAAATAGAGTTTTCAGTTCTACTTTGTGTATTTTGTTTATATATATCCGAGTTTTAGAGCTCAATAAGAAGACATAAACTAAACGGAAATAAAGACTTTTCAACTCCACTTTGTGCACATGTGTTTTGTTTATATATCTGAGTTTTAGCGCTAAATAAGATATAGGAAGCCGTTTTTCGCGTTGCTAGGTGATCGCTTCTCTTATTCCTATTTTCCTTTTAATAGACTGTCCGAAAACCGAGCTCAAGTTACTTCACGGGCAAGTCTAGGCAAGCCTATTGTTCCTATCGTAGTAGAGTGACGCTCATTAGTAAACCTATCCACTTTATTATATATGGAGGAAGGCCCTTAATTAGTATGGAGGAAGGTACTTTTTCCCAGGTTATAACAATAGGTGACGTCATTGATTAGACCATATGCATTTTAATAAAGGGAACCCACTTTTTGCGAGGGAACGCACACGGAACGCAAAGGGAACGCACCAACGGGGCTTATCTTTGCTGAAGCCCTACTACTCTAATGACACGAAATTTCGCCTCATGCCGCGAAATTTCGTTTCGATTAATCACTTTTCTTGCGAAATTTCGCCGACATTAGAACAATAGAAGCACCGAAATTTCGCCGCTTTTTCGTCTGAAGCGAAAGTTCGCAATTTGATTGCCGAAATTCGCGTAATTTCGCTTATTTCGGCAAATTTCGTTTGCATTTCTTTTGCACAGTGCTGTACTTTTCCTTGTTGCGGTTCTTAAACATTATACACGGTCTCAGCCAACATTATCACCGATCAAATGTTAACTTGAGACGTACTATACAAAGTCAGCCTATTTATACCGACGTTTCATATATACATTGCTGCAACCTCAGAGGGCCGGCTTCTTTAAGAGTGCTACTCAGTGCATCTGATGGTTGGTTACTCCTGGATCCGCGACCATCTGATTCCTTCGTTTTGAAAGAGAAGAGAGTAAGCCTTATTACGGCTCCAAGAACAGCAAACAAACAGACACAGATGATGACTGGTACGGAGTACCAGGAGTGAGGGAAATGACTGAAATAAAACAACAGGATCATGGTGATGTTTTCTATCACAAATAGCGCGTTGGAGACCAACTGTATTCTTCCTAAATGTTTCTTTTTTTCCTGAATTAACGACAAATCATCTCGTAGCCAATGGACGCCGAAAAACATAACCCACTGAAAATGGCCGACGTAGCAGTTAAAGGTTTTTGTTGTACAAGACCAACCTCTGCCAGATATTGTTATCACCGTACTGTGAAGGATCAAAACACTGATAACCCACCACTTGAAGCTTACGGTGAACAAAGCAACTGCAAAGAGTCGACTGCTTAAAATAATTATGTGCGTTACGAAGAGTAGAACTTTATCTTTTACACTGAATTTGAGGCTTCCGTGTTCGAGTTCAGTGTGAATTAGCTCATCAGCAACAGTAGACGCCCAAACGATGCTAAGGAAAGATAAAGATAGGGAAACTATTTGAACGATCGCCGCGGATTCCTGTTGAACAGCCATGGCATGCAACTGGATAATAAACTGAGGAGCTGATTCAAGAGCGGCCTCGGACAGAACAGCCAATTTGCTCAACGGCAGTAGCGTACCTAAGTCTTCATCGGTTTCCCCGTATTGTTTATATTACCTTGCCAGAGTTTTGGTAACTTCTTCTTCAGGCAGCAATAAAGCGTTCGAAGTTTCAGCCAGGGCGGGAGAAGTGGATTGCATCCAAGGACTATAACTTGTATGTATTCCCAAGCCTCCCACTGGCCCCAGTCTTTATCAAGCATTCTTGTCATCGCGTGAAGAAAGAAGTTAAAAACAAGAAAATACAAACTTGGCAAAATAATGAATGTAAGCCCCACACCGAACCATGTCTTGTGATCTGCGCGGTAGAATTGCACCAGTGTAAGAATATCGGTGATGGGGTCGGCAATGCTTAAAATGGTTAAAAAAAGAACCCTCAAGATATCGTACCATTTCAGTTTGTTTTCCGCCATTACTTCGAACTTTCTGTTTTTAAGTTCTTGTTCTGAGCTTTCTAAATGACTAAAGGAAGTGATATTTCAGAACGTCCTGTCTGAGCTAGTGATTACTGATTGGATAATGTGTGATAAGTGTGACCCTTAGTCTTATTTCGGTCAATGCACGCGATGTAAAAAGCGCCACTGAAAAGCCATAGTGAACGATGGACTGGATTTTACACTGAAGGGAGATTGTCTTCCCGCTGTCTTGAGCTCTGGGGAGATCTTTGAGTCACTTCTGGTCAGGGAACCGGCAACATGGACATCCGAAGACAATATACTGATATACTTTTGTTTTATCCTTTCAAGAAAGCTGAATTTCCAGAAAGGTACCTGCCATGGCTTAACTTATCCTTGGAATGTGCATTGTAGTTATTGCTTAGGCCTTGATCACAAGAATGTGTGATATGATTGGCTGGAAAATTAAGCTTTACATAAGAGTGAGAGGAGCCCAATTCAGTCTGTCAGTCATACTTATGATTAACGATTGAAGCAAAAACCGCAGTCGAACGGAAGAAATTTCCAGGTTATTATTTTTGCTTTTTGATCCTTTCAGGAGTCCATATCCCGGAGCAGGCGACTTCCATGTAACGGCATCACGGCGTTTTCACCGACCAGTTTACAAATAGGACGATTTAGGCGCGAATTTAGAATATTGACTTAGCCAAACAAACCACTCAGCCAAACCTACAGAGCTGACAACCTTTTAATGGAGTTTAGCTTTCATTTCCTTTACTTTGAATGCACTTATAGAGAGTTGTGGAGCTTCCATTTTCGCGGGAACAAATATTCCAAAATGTATTTTAAAATGTATTCTTTGTACACTTCCCCCTTAGGTGATATTACAAGATCTCATGGTCTTTCTTATCACTTTTATGCTGATGATACACAACTATATACAGTATATCTTTTGAAACGTCATCGCCTGAGGATTTGTCAACATGTAAATCTGCTCTTGAAGATTGTGTTAAAGATATTGACCATTGGATGTTAAATAACAAGCTGAAGCTAAACAGTGGGAAGACTGAAATTATATTTTTTTCATCCTCCTATCGCCCACGTCCTGTGTTAAAAAAACCTCTGGTGATTGCCTCTGACACTGTTGACTGTTCAGCTACTGCTAAAAATATTGGGGTTATTTTCAATAACTCTCTGTCGATGTTGCCGCACGTTACTGCTGTTCGCAAGTCTTCGTTTTTTCATTTACGCAATATTTTTAAGATTCGCAAGTTTCTTTCTTATGACACATGTAAAACTCTAATTCATGCCTTTGTTACTGCAAGGATCGACTGTTGTAACTCATTGCTCTACGGTCAGCCTAAATGTATCTTGAAACGTTTACAGAGTGTCCTAAATAGTGCTGCTAGGCTTATTCACCTTACTAGTAGATATGAACATGTTACGCCGTTGCTTATTCAACTTCATTGGCTACCAGTTGAAGAAAGGATAACTTTCAAAATTGCAGTAATTACATTTAAGGCACTTCATGGTGCTGCACCTAGCTATATCACTGATCTCACCAAGCCTTACACACCAGGTAGACTTCTTAGATCCTCTAATCAATTTTTACTTTCTAAATCTAAATTTAATCTTAAAACTTATGCTGGCCGGTCTTTTACTATTGCTGCACCTTCTGTTTGGAATGCACTTCCATTCGGACTTAGATCTTGTAATTCCCTTTCTTCTTTTAAATCTAAGCTTAAGACTTGGCTTTTTAAAATTTGTTATGATGTTGTCGTATAGAATGATGATGTTTTTATAGGATGACAATGTAGTTTTGTAGGTTTAGGATTTTGTTGTTATTTTTATTATTTAGAGCGCTCTTGGCAAATGGGAATTTTTATAGGATGACAATGTAGTATTGTACGTTTAGGATTTTGTTGTTATTTTTATTATGTAAAGCGCTTTTGGACCATTGGGAATAAGCGCTCTATAAATATTGTATATTATTATTATATTATTATAAACCGGTCCGTGAAAACGCTGCGACTAAGCCTAGTATGTGAGTTGCTCAATCTGGGCATAGTTAATGGAGGTGACTGGTTATGAAGCCCGGCAAACATCAAAGGAGCAAACAAAGATGCCAAGATTTATGTTAGAAGGTCCACGACCCTGCACAATCTTTTGTTTTGCGTTCATACGTTATGCATGAATTACGTAACCAGCACGTTTCTATTGGTTAGTTCCTCAGTACGGAGTAAACAACTATTGTGTTTTGTGCAGGGTCAAGGCCAAAAAAGAGAACAAAAACATACAACAAAGAACTTTGTCGGGTTTCATAACCATTCCCTCTATTAACTATGATCTGGGTTGTGGGCCCTAGTAGTATAGGGCGCACCGAATTAACCTTTTCTTTGCACAGGAATCTCATTAGCGTGCGCAGGAATACATTAACTAGGTTACGTCATAGGCTATTGTCTTGATCTCATGAATAAAATGTTGTGGTATCTCATTAACTTGCGGTGGAATCTCATTAAGTATATCCAGTTTGACGGGTTTATCAATGATGTCATGTTCTATTTTTTATCTTGTGGCGGTCATGGTTGGTATAACCGGTTTGACAGGTTTTAGTTATTTTCGGAAGATGATGTCATATGTATTCCGGGGTACTATGATGTCATAGTTGTTTTGATTGGTTGACGGGAATTACCTAGACTTGCCCGTGAAGTAACTTGAGCTTGGTTTTCAGAACAGGAGGGCATTTTGTATGCGCATGCGTCAATATGGGCTGTTGAAGTGCCACCGAGGCATTTTCTGTGAATTGTTTACGTTTAGTACCAGCATTTGCAGGCTGTTTTCTGGAGCTGAATGACGTGTATTGGGTGCTACGTTCCACAAACGTGTTCCTTAAGGTATCGAGGTATTTCTACGATGAAAGTGAGTTTATTGTAGCCTCGCTGTCGCCCTTGAGAGGACAGTATTTCCTTTCGTAAAACAGTACATCGAGGACAAGATGGCGGCTGAATGTTCTTACCACCTATAACATTTCGCGCGCATTTTTTGAGCAGGAGGAAAAGGTCAGTATGATAGTTTTTCTTTAAACAATTATCGTATAGATACTTAATTCTTCTCAATAGTATAACTCTAAAATCGAACTTAATTGTTTCAGGAATACGGTGGTTAATTAAATGTTCATTCTGCCGTGAAACTGTTTTTCACCCTTTCTCTGGCTTGTTTATCTCGAAATCTTGCCTTTCTCCCCAGATTAAGTTAATGATTAATGAAACTAAGAATACTTCCGCGAATGAATGGCGCTTTGATGAAGGCTGTGAAAAATCGCCTTCTGCAGTAATTTTAGCTTTCTTCTCCGGTGCGTCTTCGTTGAGAAATAAAATACATGCACTTCAACAATAAATTTAAATCAATATAATGATGCGAGTAAGATTCTGTTTTGAAAATAAGAATATTCTATCATTTAGTTGTACAAAGGAAAAAAATTAGAGCAATCGGTTTGAATTCTGATTTTTTCCACCTTATTTTGATGGTACACTGTTTGTTTACATTTTATTATGCAAATAAATATAACAGTTTGGCGTTTTAAAGAAAATCTAGCCTAACTCCCCAACCCCAAAATAGCTCGAAATGAAACGTTATCAATACACCTTTTAAATAAATCCTGGCTCCTGTTGCAAAAAAATCGCATTTATTCCTAAATGATACCATTTTGTGGATACTACATTTGTTGATATGCTAATTTGTGAGACATTTCATTCACGAAGGACGTTGACTGAGACCAGCTTCTCCTCTGTATTGAACCACATTCTTGTTTAATGCATCAGTTTCTGATTGATAATTCTTCCATGATGTACAACTTACATAAGGGGTTCATATGGATACAGTAAAAAGCTCTCAACAGAAGCAATAACAGGCAAATTCATCCATCCATTTGTGTCATGTTTGTTGTCGCATCCCAGCTCATTTGGGTCTTTTAGCAGAAGTATTTATTTTTTGAGGAAACAGCATTATATGCACCCCTTTAAAAACTTCCTATCTTATGTTTAAACAGGCTTTGAAGGTGAACAACATGGTCAGGTTAGATTTATGGAGTGATGGCCCGATTCTCCGTTTTGAATGGATCATTACTGTTATCAAATATAAATTAATAACAAGAAATCGATTTTGGAACACAGGAGTTGTTACTCAAAAGTCGCTTCAAAATAGTAGCTTAGGAAATCTCTGTATCTTTTAGAGTTAAAGAAAAATAAAAGTACTGTTCGTTTTTTCGGAGTATGTGCATTCGTTTTGTCTGCAACTGAGCTTATGAAATGCTCAAGTGATTATGTTCTACATAATCACTTGTAATTGTTTCTGTCTCAAACTCAGTCCATTCTTCATTTCCTAATCAATATTTTTTATAAATTTTTCCGCGAAAACTTTCGAAAAACTGTAAAACCCCCATAGATTCCACGTTTTCGTGCACATATAAACGCTTGTCTTCGCGATCAGTTTAACATGAGACATCGCGCCTCGCGTGGTAATTTTTTTTTCGCTTTTTGTCTTAAAGCAGCAGAACATTGATACGATGCATTTCCTCCCTGATATGTAAAACCACGAGTTTGGAAATCAAACCATAGAAATGCATTGCTTTGCCAGTGAAAATCAGACTTATACAGGAACATGACTTTTTCGCGTTGAGTCTTGAAAGTCTTTAAAAGGCCAAGAAAACCTGCTGCTGAAAGATCTACAAGTGAAAACCCGCGTAGAAAACGTCTGACTTTTGTCATGGAGAATATTTTTAGGAAAGTACGGTATTCAAAGTACCAACGAAATGGCTTTTAATGGCGCGAGTTTTCGATTTCCCGCCATCAGATTTGCTGCGCCCACGCTATTGTCGTTCGGCGGATTCACGCATGCGCATGCAAAATGCCCTCCTGTTGGTTTTCAGACCGTCTATTAAAAGAGAAATAGGAATAAGAGAAGCGATCACCTAGCAACGCGAGAGACGGCTTCCTATATCTTATTTAGCGCTAAAACTCAGATATATCAACAAAACACATACAGAAAGCAGAGTTGAAAAGCCTCTATTTGAATTTAGTTTACGTCTTCTTATTTAGCTCTAAAACTCGGATATAAACAAAACATACACAAAGTGGAGCTGTAAACTCTTTCTCTTTTCTATCTCGAGGACATGAAAAATTATTGAAGTCTTGTCATTTTCACGCACTGTTAATCAGTTAATTATGCGAGTTCACCAGCTCAAAGTTGAATACAAATTAGCTCTACAGCTAGACCCAAGGGAGCAACCTTGACGTATTATTATAAAACAAATAACTTAAGGTGGCTCGATACAGTTTTTCAGGGCCCATACCTCCCAAGTTTGAGCATAAACTAAGTCGCCATCAACAAAGTTTTGGAAAAATTTCCACCACAGTTGTATTAGATGAAGATGAAAATTTGTTATGATCAGGGTTGCAACGGCATCAGAGTTGTCATAGCAACGAAATGACGCTATTACCTATTTTACTGCCTTACAATATATCAATAATCTTGAAACTAAAAGGTCATATAAAAGGAAGGTTAATCTCAAGAATCTTAAATTTTTAAAAAAATCTATCGAGCGGTTTAAAAATTATTCGTTAATTTGTTAAAGAAGACCAAAATGTTTACAAAACCGCAAACAAGAGCTCTTCGATACAGACTAATCAAACCCTTCTTTCTAGCAATCGGCTGGAACTATCTCCCAAGATCTTTCACACACGCTTTTAAAAAGATTGAAACTACTATGACGTGAAATTGCGTGTCAAAAGCGCTTCATTTTCTACAGATAACGGCCAAAGAACAATAGTATCCATTTTTTACTGTGTTTCTAACAATAAAAACATTATCGCAAAATATCTCCATAACGCTCTTACAGATTTCGCTCAAACTTCACGAACATCGAGGCTGCTATTGGAGGAAAAAGCTCCCGTAAATGATTTTCGAAGAACAGTTCCCAGTGCCGAGTTATACTGCTGCAAGTAAAATAGGCAATAGCGTCATTTTGTTGCTATGACAACTCCCATGCCGTCGCAACACTGATCATAACAAATTTTCATCTTTATCTAATACAACTGTGGTGACACTTTTTCCAAAACTTTGTTTTTGGCGACGTAGTTTATGCTCAAACTTGAGAGGTATTGACCCTGAAAAACTGTATCGAGCCACCTTAACAAGGATCAATTAAAACACGCGACTCATAATTGCTAGCAATAAAACCACAAGAGAGATACCGTTTTAAAAACTTTATTAAAAGTTAATAACAAAAAGAGTCAAATACACAGCGATTTGAAAGGAAAAGGAATGAAAATTAATTCTTTCACTGACAATTACAAATCAGTTTTTTCCGTTCCATTGCGAGGAATCACCTCTTATTAGTCCTATAACAATGTGTATAAAATATAATTAGACATTTAGTTTGGAAACCGTGTTTTGTCTTCTGTTTCATTTTCAGTTTAATGATTTTTCTTTGTTTTTTCTTTTTTCTTTTACATGTTCTTTGTAGACAAATTATTTAAAAGTCAAAGTATAGAGGCGTCTTTGACCACTTAGATACTGAAAGAAACGTTAACTTGTATTATAACTTGTATTATTGCTTATTTAAAAAGAAAACGACCTTTGTCAGGACTTCTTTGTTGCTGGTCACTCTTGCTTCTCGACCCTCTCGTGCTCCAGTTAGGAGAGCAACTACGCCCTTCATGCCTGAAATGGCATGAACGTTCTTGATGGCGTTGTATGTTAGACCCGCCTTTGCCATCTTTTCTACCATATAGGAGGACAGCAAAGTGTCCATATTTCCTTTGAATGTAGATACCCTCTGTGATGTCTCCACTTTTACTTTCATGTCGTAAAATGCTGCCTTTATGTGGACAGCATTATCGACAATTGCAGAGGGGCAGGAATTTAGTCGCTCGTCATCCATAATCTGTTGCAATGCTGTCGAGTCTTCAAGCGCATCATGTGCATTAAATGAGTTCCCTGTTACGTGTTGGTAGATGGAACCAAGTGTCTTCGATTTATGAAGCCACGTTTCCTTTTTTAAAGAGGGCAAACTGTCTGCAAAAATATGGGCATTTTGAGTCCCCTTCCCAATTCCCTTGCACACAATGAGATTTGATACAGCAGCCTTGGCGTATCAAAAACTGTGGCGTTGTGTCCGATGAGGATACAGGGGTGCTTCATTGATTCCAAGAATGAGAGGAAGTTATTAAATGCTTCCTCTTTGGGGCACGTTTCCAGAAGTACCCCCTTCTTTGACAAGCACCTTTTTCCCTCATTATTATATGCGACACGTAAGCCGTGAACTGCTGTTGCAGATGTAGCAATATCAAAAGTTGGAGTGATATAAGATGAGAACGAAGAATGCTTAGAGACTGCCGCTAACTGCAAAATCTCGCACTTTTTGGTTCGACTTGCTGTCTCCACATCAAAATAGATGATGGCGGAATCTCTGGGTGGTTTATCTGCTGGTGGCGGTGGTACTCTGTTTGCTGGTAGCTCAGCGTGTTTTTGGGACTTTTCTACGTCACCCATGTTGATGTTTAGGATAGTTTCGCAAATTTCGTCTTGCAGGGTACTCAGCTCTGTTGTGATGCCTGAGCAATACGTTATTCCCTCCCTCTTCTCACCTTCTTTCCCTTTCGCTCTACAAGCCCGATGTAGCTTTTTTCTTTGGTGTTTGAACTGCTTCGATGATTTTCTTTCTTTGTCCTGAGATTGCTTAGCGGACATACGTTCTACGTATTGCCTGCAGACTTCACCGCTCTCGATATCCATGTTTTGCATAACAACAACATGAAACGCTAGAAATGATACGCAAACTTTCCCCCAGTTTTACCGCATTCCATTTACCATTGACATTGATTAGTAAATTTACGCCAACAATTTTTACCTTCATTCACTTGTGCAACACCTGCTGCAATTCTGTAGTCGTTTCTTTCGCTCCCCCCGTAGTATCTGATCTTCAGAGACTTTGTCCCGATTACGCTGTTTGCTGTTTCATTTTTTTGAGAAGATGAAAGTGGTGCCATCTTTTTCAGCATGTCTGCCGTTGCATATTTTTGAATTACATCAGTAAGACACCTCTTGAGGGCGGCGCCTTGTAAATCTTTACCATCTGGTAGGCCGACGTGTTTATATCCCGAGGGATTTTTTAACTTTCCACACCATTCCAAACTGCACTTTGCGTGGTCGCCAAAGGCGTGGGGGACTATGGCCTCGAGAGATTGTTTCAGTCCTTTTTCCTTGTCTTTGTTTTGATAAAGGGCATAGACAAAGCACTTCTCAAGGTATGATATAACAGCATCTGAAAGTAGGGTTTTGCTTCCCGCTGGGATCTGCGATCAAGCTTTGTACAGGTCACCTCCAAATCCTCGTTTTACATGGGTGAAATCAGCATGTTTTCCTACGTCATAATTTAATAAGAGATTGAATATCGGTCTTAAAAAGGTCGTATTTACCCTTTTCAAGATTCCAGCTATTTGTGGAATAGTAAATTTTGGTTTGCAAACTTACCAGCAACTTGTCTAACTCGAGCGATGGTGGTGCTATCTTCGTCTCCTATACAGGTAAAGTAGCGAATACCACATGCTTTGGCACGCTCGTAGATTTCTGATGCAGCCCCTGCCTCCATTGACTTGGAAGTGCCAGTATGATTCTTTCGACAGTCGTGAGTATGTGGCCTCTTTCCTGACTTGGACGCACTCTCACATATTCAGCAGGCGGTGTTCCTCGTTTCAAAGTCAACAATTTTACCCGTAGCTCGTCCAGCAGCAGTGCATTGTCCTCTCCTTGAGTTCCTAGCATTACCCCTTTTCTGCCACCCCATATCGTAGGAGATTGCGAGGTCGTTGTTCCCGTCAGTGCTCTTTACTTCCTGATCAAGCCAGTTAGAGCAACTCGTTCTTGCTACCTTTTCAGTTTGCGGTCCCACGCTTCTCTCGATACTCTTGTAGGTTTTTGAAGTCATGGATTTCACATCCATTGGAGAAAGAAGATGTTCCAGCTGCGTATTCCCATTCCCAGAATGAAGGGTACCAAGAACACAGCGCTCGTTCAGTTTGAAGCGTTTTGGCCCTCGTTGGTTAATCTTAGTGTGAACTTCTTCGGTCCGAACGACATTTGTTTCCTGACAGTAATCACATCTTATCCTTATCAAGTACCCCAAGCCAGCTCTCCTCTCGTTTGTCGTGTTTTTCAAGTTCAGGGGACCCACACCACATTTGGCACATTTATCCAGTTGTTCTGATAAATATCCCCAGTCAACTATACGGTACCGTGTATTAGCCGATTCTGATGCGTGGCTTGCGCTTTGGCTTCTTGTTGTTGTAGGAGATAAAGACGGGCAAGGGTACTCGACTGGTACTTTTCTTTTTATAGGTGGATGACGCTTATTTTTTTCTCTTCGCTTGGCTTTCAATATTTTCATACACTTCCCAAATGATTTTCTTACAGGGGCCTCTCCTTCGTCTGTAATTAGTTTCAGAATGAAAAAAGAGCCAATCAAAAATACAGCCCATAAGGCTGTTTGAGCAGAAAAAAAAACTAAGCATTGACAGCCCAAAACGTGGCTGAAAGCAACCACTTACCTTGCTCTCTGCTATCATAGGTGGTTTTCATGCAATCTCGGGAGACACAAATAACAATGGTGAAATGAACAAATGCTGGTGGACAAACAAAGCGAGATAATGAGCGATCTTTTGTTTACCGTCCACCAGCATGGCGGCGATGACGTAACGTGAAAACCACCTATTCGGGCTGGTAAAATTTGTATTTATTAAATTGTTCAAATTGCTTTCATCAGGTTTGCCTTCCTTTTGCCCTGGTTCACTTAACTTTTCCCCATTCATGTCCTTCTCTCACCAAAGTCTAACAGTGCACTGCAACGTTTACCATCTGTAAACGCATATTGTGCAAAGGTGAAATCGCCATTAATTACCAATTTAATAGTAAATAGATTTCCATATGTAAATAATAACTATTATCCCCAAGTGGCATACTGCTCGTGAGCATGTGATAGGAAAGTCAGCGATCTTGAATATATTATCGCGCGAGAGGGTTTTCATTGCAGTTGAAAATTGGATGGCGAGGTGTTCTCGAACTAGCGGGCTTATTTCTCCTCAGAACGAGAACCTTTGAAGCTAAAAATTGCCAAGCGATTTCTACAGATGCTGTGTTTTGTTTTCTTAATATTTTTGTCAAAACTGAACGGACAAATGTAGAGTGAGTTGGATAAATAGAATCTATTAACGTGCATGTAGCAGAAAGTTGCTGGTATTAAAGCGCTAACTGTGTTCGCCGTAGTTGTCCGATTACTCATTTTCTTCCAACAATGCTTTGGGTAAGAACAACGTTTCACTGAGTTAAGAGGTAGTTTGTCAGCTCTCTTTCGCTATTTGTGCGTTTACGTTCACAAATGTGTTAGCCTATCATTTTAGCATTAAATTTGACCAACATTTTGTGGAGCGATTTCTACGGTCACGATTGCCTTCAAACTTGCAGACATAAAACTGGAGAGCTCTGAGGCTTATTTGCTGAAGTTAGGGAAAAATCTGTCGTGGGATTCCGACGTTATTTTCATTTTTCGTGAAAATGAGGTTTTAAATATATGCCGATATCTCAAAAGTTTTTATACCTATAAGAAAATAAATAACATTTTCTTAAAGTTCCATCATTATTTATTAAGGATGCAAAAAATCATAGAAATCGGTTGAATCTTTCATTTTGAAAAACGCGAATCAAAAACATAACCAACACGCATATAAATAGGAACGGGCCACCTTAAGTTATTTGTTTTATAATAATACGTCAAGGTTGCTCCCTTGGGTCTAGCTGTAGAGCTAATTTGTATTCAACTTTGGGCTTGTGAACTCGCATAATTAACTGATTAACAGTGCGTGAAAATGACAAGACTTCAATAATTTTTCATGTCCTCGAGATAGAAAAGAGAAAGAGTTTACAGCTCCACTTTGTATATGTTTTGTTTATATCCGAGTGTTAGAGCTAAATAAGAAGACGTAAACTAAATTCAAATAGAGGCTTTTCAACTCTGCTTTCTGTATGTGTTTTGTTGATATATCTGAGTTTTAGCGCCAAATAAGATATAGGAAGCCGTTTCTCGCGTTGCTAGGTGATCGCTTCTCTTATTCCTATTTCTCTTTTAATAGACGGTCTGAAAACCGAGCTCAAGTTACTTACCGGGCAAGTCTAGGCAAGCCTATTGTTTCTATTGAAGTAGAGAGACGCTCATTAGTAAACCTATACCGAATAGTATCCAAGAAGGCATTTTTACCCAACTAGCTAGACACTGACTAGGCACACAATTAATATGCAGGAAGGCAGTGAGCAGGCTTTTATGCCGTTCAAACAATAAAAAATACGGCAACCAACCAGAACGCTTCGTCAAACGAGACAGCCAATGAGCGTCTTTCTAATTCCCGTCAACCAATCAAAACAACTATGACATCATAGTACCCCGGAATACATATGACATCATCTTCCGAAAATAACTAAAACCTGTCAAACCGGTTATACCAACCATGACCGCCACAAGATAAAAAATAGAACATGACATCATTGATAAACCCGTCAAACTGGATATACTTAATGAGATTCCACCGCAAGTTAATGAGATACTACAACATTTTATTCATGAGATCAAGACAATAGCCTATGACGTCAACTAGTTAATGTATTCCTGCGCACGCTAATGAGATTGCTGCGCAAGGAAAAGGTTAATTCGGTGCGCCCTATACTACTGGCCCTGATACTTAAAATTCTCAGAGAAATGAATACCCAAGGAAAGGGGAGAGGAGATTATGTTTGGATGGCCTCCCAAACATACATAACCCCATTTTTTTCTATTCAGACCCCCACCCCGCCACCCCCTTCAAAAAAAACTTCCTTGATTTAAGCAGATGCATCACATGAATCCAAATTGAAAAGTTGCCGATCTGGTCAAGTCTCGATAGATTTTGAATCCGAAAACTAAAGTGAATCCGATGCCTTGTAATTTCGCAATGTTTTGTAGTGCAAACAATTTGTCCAACTTATCCGATACGTTTCCGCATTTGATCATACGAGCCCTCGCGGCGAGGGCAACGAAAACGTCGCCAGCTATCAAAATGAATGCGTGTTTTTTTAGTTTTGTTGTTGTTATTGTTGTTTGTTTGTTTTATTTTTTTTAAAAAGATTTTCTCGCTTTTCTTTCATCTCTCTTAAAATGGCAAATATAGGTAAACTTCAATACGGGGTCTTGGGGACCGCACCCAATTTCGGACTAAGAGAAGAAATTAAATTGGTTCCTGTGTTTACGTCCTCCAAACACCGTCGCAAAAGGAAATTTAACGTCGTGTTCGTACAGGTTTTGAGGAAAAGCGCGCTCCATGTGCAAAATTTGTCGTTTTTCATGTACTTATTGGGTTCAATCGTTTGACGTTCTCATTGCTGTCGCCGTCACCGTCACCTTCGTCGTTGCTCCCAGGATTTATTGATGTACATAAACGGTTAGGAATCCCAAAACGTTTTTAGTAAAAACGCCTCCCGTCTTTTTCACTAGATATATATGTGATTCAAGATTCGATCCATTAATGAATTACTTCGTTTCTCTGGAAACCGACATTTGGGTAGAGAGGGAAAAAAAGTCCGTTGTTTTACAAAAAAATATATATTTCAAAGAAACAACAAGAGTTGAATGAATTGAGGCAAACTGTGCTCTTAGAATAATTATCTTTAGAAATTTTGCTTTCTTTTTAGAATTAACTTATTATTTATTCATTTACTTTTTTGTGCACGCCTTTTTCAGGTACGCACCTGCGTACCGTGCGTACAGGTAGCTAAGCTCCTGGTTGTGTTGCTCCAGACAGACCCGGGAGACAAACGAACAGTAAAAAAGCTAGTTGCGACACTTAAACATTACAGTCAGCCTACATAAAGACACACATTGCATACAAACTTGCGACGAACCAATACAAGATCAGACTATAATCTACCCTCGTTTTATGCTTCATCCACGACGGGATTAAAGTACGAGTGCAGCTCTTCTTGATCGAAATCATTTGATCGACCAACTGATTCCTTCTTTAAGAAATAGAAATGAGTAAGTCTCATTACGGCTCCAAGAACAGAAAACAAACAGACGCAAATGGTGACTGGTAAGGAGTACCAGGTGTGAGGGAAATGATTGAAATAAAACAAGAGGATCATGATGAAGGTTTCTATCACAAACAGCACGTTTGAGAACTTTGAGAGCAGCATTCTTCTTAGCTGTTTCTCTTGGTTTTCGGCTCCTTCGTGAGGACCACGTGTGGTAAGTGCATTATCACTTATAGTAAGTGTAATATCATCTCGCCGCCAATGGAAACAGAACAAAGTAACCGGAGCCATTGCGTGTACTACGTTAGTAAAACGGCAAAACCAAATATCATATATCAGCATCACAAAACAGTGAAAGATCAAAATAATCACCCACCACTTGAAGCTTACGGTGAAGAACGGGCAACCGCAAGGAGCCGACGGCTTAAAATAAATACGTGCGTTGAAAAAAGTAGAAGTTTATTTTTCACATTGAAATCGGCGCCTTCAGCAGGGGCACCCAACGAGAATATAGTTCAAACCACTTAAACATAGCATTGATAAACGTATTTTAGTATTTAAACGGTAGATCTAGGCATATTTTCATCCCCTAAAAATTTTTTATCTGTTCGGATTTCCTAGCTGAAAGTCTAGTGATCCGAAAATTGTAGGGATCAAAACTTACCTTTTCGAAAATTTCTGCCAGAAAAAAGGCTCTCGAAAATTCTAGGTGACCTTTTTAGGGTAAAAATCCGTTGAAAATAGGCAATTATACCATTATTAACAGGGGTCTTTTTTGCATGAGCATGCGCGACCGCTGACTTGTCAAAGAGCACGCGACCAGTGACAGCGACCGTGCTGCATAGTCATAGGAACCAAATTGTTCACTTTGAAAGCTTGCTTGAGATTGAAATGGTAGCAGAAACTTAGGAAAGACCTTCGTTGTACAAAATAAGTAAAGATCTGGTGATTTAAAGTGGAGACTGATGCGCTGAACGGGGTGAAAGAGCAAGTTTCTCAAGGATGTCTGACACGAACATGGCTGCTTGTTGTTGTTTGGCGCTCGACTCGTGTCTTGATTCCCCTTTAAGAACCGCAAAGTTTGGCATAGAATGCATTGCTGATGCGTAGCTACGGAGCAAAATGTTCTTTATTTATTGTTTGTCTATAAATCGGATGTAAATCAGGTTCTCGATGCCGTAGAGGATTTCTGTCAATAATTTGTAGATAGTTGATTTAGGCATATTTCGGGAGTGGATTAATAACGATCAGCGGGCGACTACCACACCGTTTTCACTTGAAATAGAAAGTTTTTGCCTTAAGTATTTTAGCGATACAAAGTTTGTTTATAGGAAAATTGTAGAACTTCTTGTTTTTCGGTGGACTAACATTGTAACGCATTTTTTACAGGAATTTGCTTTTGGCCAGAACTTAAATGTTCTAATGATTTTTAACTTTTGGTCGGTATCACATGTTTACTGTACTTCTTGGGAAACCTAACCGTTTGTTTCATCAAAATCGGTCACAAGATTGGACTTTAATTTCGGTCCTATTGAATGCAGTTTTGACTGTGTCTCATTGATATTCATTTTTTTTATTGTTCGAGACATACAGAGTGACTACCACCAACATCTCACCAGGTGACTAATCTACGTCTCGTGTGCTCTTAATTTTGTAGCTTTAAAGTGCTGGGAAAATTGTACAACATATATTAATTCACTGCTGAACTGAACATCGGCTTTCGCGCACCTCGAACCCACTCGCTGAAATTTGCTATGTTTTTTTTAATATTTCTCTTTGTTTCCCATTTCAAAACAAAGAAAATTGAAAGTGTTTACTTGCATCAACAAACGTTTCTGCACTTTGTTTAGACTTTGATGAGGTCAGCGCAATCCTCCAGGCACTACAGATACGCGCGCTGTTGTCCAGGTCAAGTGGGGGAGATGAAATTTGATACTACCTCGTGTATGTTAAAGCCGGTCTACTTCGCTTTTGTTAAGACCATGTTAGAGTTTTTTTTTGCAAACTACACATTTTGTTAAATCACGAGCACATTCGCCAAGACCAACGAGCAAAATAATCGCTATGATAGCTTTAAGACGCGCCATTTTGATGAAGGAAAACCCTGTGGTGAGCCTCCATGCACATCGCTTGTTCAGCGGTCGCGCATGCTCATGCAAAAAAGACCCCTGTTACCATTATTTAGATGTTCGAAAATCCTAGGAGAGGCAGGCAAGCAAGAAATTTTACAAAAAATGTTCCGAAAATTCTAGATCTCAAATCGTCTTCCGAACAGATATTTTCCGAAAATTGTCGTTGGGTGCCGCTGCTTCAGGCCCGACACCATCAGCAACAGAAGACGCCCAAGCCAAGCTGAGGAAAGACACAGGCAGGGAAACCATTTGAACGATCGACACCGATTCCTGTTGAACAACCATGGCGTATAACTGAATAATAAACTGAGGAGCTGATTCAAGAGCGGCCTCGGCCAAAACAGCGAGTTTGCTGAACTCCAGTAGTTTACTCAGATCATTCAGTGGATTTTATTCGTTCGATTGTCAGTCGATTCGATATTATTGTCTCGTCAGAGGTTTGGTAACTTCTCTTTCAGGTAATCAAAAAGCGCTCTCAGTTTCATTAAAGCGGGAAAAAGTGGAATGCAACCAAATGTGCATGTAGTCCAACAGCAATTCCAGCAATCGACGTTCTGACCGTTGTACGTCTGTAAGACGTTAATGATTGAAAAAAACAATAATGGCAAAATTATGAAAGAATGCCCTACACCGAACCACGTCTTGTGATCTTCGCGGTGGAATTCCACCAGTGTAAGAATATCAGTGATGGGGTCTGCAAAGCCTAAAATGATTCCAAAAAAAATCGACACGATTTCGTACCATTTGAGTTCGTTTTCCGCCATCAACATAACATATTTAATGTTTGTCCCAACTGACACTACGTTCCCTAGTCTCGACTCTTAAACTTTTATAGTCAGCCTACATAATGACTCAGATCACATACACTCAGACGTACCAATACAAGATGAGACGATAATCTACCCTCGTTTTTTGCTACAACTGGAAGGGTTTGAAAATAGAATCGATTTCGTATGATTGATCATCTGGATCCTTCCTTAAGAAATAGAAGTGAGTAAGTCTCATTCCGGCTCCAAGAACAGAAAACAAACAGACGCAGATGGTGACTGGCAAGCAGAACCAGGTATGGGGGAAATGACTGAAATAAAACAACAGGATCATGGTGATGTTTTCGATCACAAATAGCACGTTGAAGACCAACTGGATTCTTCTGAAATGCTTTCGTTTACTTTTTTTTTCGGTGTCCTTGTCAGTTATTATCATTGCCAAATCACCTCGTAACCAGTGGAAGCAGAAAAATAAAACCGATACAAATACATATATTTTTTTGCAGGAAAAGCTTCGTTGACTACAAAGCCAAATTGTCGTGTCACATATCGCCATGACCGTACGGTGAAATATCAAAACACTGGTAACCCACCACTTGAAGCTTACGGTGAACAAAGCAACTGCAAAGAGTCGGCTGCTTAAAATAAATAAGTGCGTTACAAAATGTAGAACTCTATCTTTTACCCTGAAATTGAGGTCTCCTTCGTCACTGTGAAGAAACGCATCAGCAACAATAGACGCCCAAGCCAAGCTAAGAAAAGACACAGGTAGGGAGATCATTTGAACGATCGTCACGGATTGCTGTTCAACAGCCATGGCGTACAACTGAATAATGAACTGAGGAGCTGATTCAAGAGCAGCCTCGGCTAGGACAGCGAATTTGCATGCCTTTCGTAGCTCACTGTAATGATCCACGTCTTCACCCGTTTGATCGGTGTTATTACTTTGCCAGAGTGTTAGTAACTTCTTTAGGTAGAAAATAAGCGTTCGCAGTTTTAGCCAGGCCGGAAGGAGTGGATTGCATCAAAGGACTAAAACATGTGTGCATTTCCAAGCTGTCCACTGGCCTCTATAAGTTTCAATGTTAAAGTTACCATAAAGAAAAAACAAAGTTGGAAATATAATGGATGTGACCCCTACACCGAACCACGTCTTGTGACCTGCACGGTAGAACTCCCTCAGAGTGAGGATATCAGTGATGGGATCGGCAATGCTTAACATGGTTCCGAAAAGAACCTCCAAGATACGATACCACTTGAGTTGCGCCATTACTTCGACCTTTCTGGCTCAGCTGCTTACTGCACAAAACGATAAATTTCTTCCTAGCAACCATGACTGCACAAAATAATAAATTACTTCCTAGCAACCCTGACTGCATAAAACAATAATTTACTTCCTAACAACCAGATGCTCTCGCTCCTTCTTCCCTTTCTTCCCCGAAAAGAAAACGCCTTATCGCAGGTTAGGTTACACACTGACGTTAAAGCACTTCCTGTCTCATTGACTCGTGTTTATCGTGGTTGGGAAAGTTGTGGACTATGTGACCCATAAAATGCACTTATTGAATTAAAATTGAAATTCGTTGTGAGTGGCAGTTCATGTTTTAGACTTCATTTATTTTTGCAAAAGAAATCAGTGTCTTAACAAATTCAGCTCATGTAAAAGAGACCCAGATCCAGTGAAGTGTGATCATAAATCATTATAAGGGACTATTGGGCGCTTTCTATTCAGCCCAAAATTGCGGAAATGTCGGTTAGAAAACAAATGGAATGGATCATTTCGGTTTAGTCCGACCGGAATATTTGGGAACACCTTTGAAGGTGGTCCAATTTGATCGATCCTACGGGGTTCCTTTACGATTATTATTTATACCCGTCGAAAATACCTCCTCATGGTGGTTTAGAACATCATTTCCATTGGATTCTGTGGAAATTTCCCCATTGATTTCAAATTCCATGAAATTCCATGGAAACTACTTCGTCGAATTCTCATGGATCTCTAGAGGAAGTTCCATGGAATTCACAGATATTAATAAAAATAATTAGTAATATATACAGGGCTATTCACCAGATCTTGGGATTAGAATATCCAATGAATTAAATGGAATTCATTACAGATTTTGGTGTCAATGCAATTTATTGGATAAGTTCATTTTATTATTACAAAGAAAACTGCATCCAAAAAAGGTGTCCCCAGCAATTAGCTAACTGTTAAGCTAAATACATTGACACTAAAAGTTCCTCAAACGTACATCAATTATTACTTTTTCTAAAAATTAGAAAAATTACATGGTATTATAAAGGCTTTATTTAGAGTACAAAAACGACACTCATCAGATCAGCTATGCGCATTTTACTTCATGAGTGTTTTAAATTGTTTCATGCTTCCGGCCGAAACTTGAGGGTGTGAATGGGGTTAACCGACTAGCGACAAAGGGCGAAAAATATTGCTGACTACCGACAAAACGAGTAAAAAATTACCGACTACCGACATGGGCTGACATTATCAATACTTGTTTCAGAAAAAAGAGCATTTTGTATTTTTTTTCTAGCCGTAAGGAGGAACCTCTTTAAATTTATGACTCACCAGATGATCTAACAGAAAGAACTTCCTCTTTTGTTGATACGGGTACATAACTACAACTAATATCATAATCACAGAAGCTAACCTTAAATATGCTACCGACTTTATAAATTTTATTGAAAAGACAAAGGTGAAAAAACTGAACGTTTCTTGTTTCGGTCCGAGAAATGCTTAAATTAATTCTCAAAGAAAATTCTTTCCAGTTTAATGGAAAGCACTATCAGTAAAAAACCACTGTACCGCGATGAGCACATACAGCAGTTTCCTTTCCACGTCACGTTTCCGTAGCTTATGATTGTGTTTGGCCTGTCAACACCGAATTTCCTGCTGTTTGATGAAGTACAATAGCACCGTCATGGACATATGTCTGTGAGTGCTAAAGGAAAGCAACAAAAGTAGGCTCGACAGCTACAGTGTCAGGAACAGCGTACTGAACATATCCCATACTACCTCTCGGGAATGTCGCGTGCACATTTTTACCGACAACCTTTCTCGAAATAGCTGTATATAGCTGTGTATCATCAGCATAAAAGTGATAAGAAAGACCATGAGATCTTGCAATATCACCTAAGGGGGAAGTGTACAAAGAATACATTTTTAAATACATTTTGGAATATTTGTTCCCGCGAAAATGGAAGCTCCACAACTGTCTATAAGTGCATTCAAAGTAAAGGAAATGAAAGCTAAACTTCATTAAAAGGTTGTCAGCTCTGTAGGTTTGGCTGAGTGGTTTGTTTGGCTAAGTCAATATTCTAAATTCGCGCCTAAATCGTCCTATTGGTAAACTGGTCGGTGAAAACGCCGTGACGCCGTTACACGGAAGTCGCCCGCTCCGGGATATGGACTCCTGAAAGGATCAAAAAGCAAAAATAATAACCTGGAAATTTCTTCCGTTCGACTGTGGTTTTTGCTTCAATCGTTAATCATAAGTATGACTGACAGACTGAATTGGGCTCCTCTCACTCCTATGTAAAGCTTAATTTTCCAGCCAATCAGATCACACATTCTTGTGATCAAGGCCTAAGCAATAACTACAATGCACATTCCAAGGATAAGTTAAGCCATGGTAGGTACCCTTCTGGGAATTCAGCTTTCTTGAAATGATAAAACAAAAGTATATCAGTATATTGTCTTCGGATGTCCATGTTGCCGGTTCCCTGACCAGAAGTGACTCAAAGATCTCCCCCAAGCTCAAGACAGCGGAAAGACAATCTCCCTTCAGTGTAAAATCCAATCCATCGTTCACTATGGCTTTTCAGTGGCGCTTTTTATATCGCGTGCATTGACCGAAATAAGACTAGGGGTCACACTTATCACACATTATCCAATTAGTAATCACTAGCTCAGACAGGAAGTTCTGAAATATCACTTCCTTTAGTCATTTAGAAAGCTCAGAACAAGAACTTAAAAACAGAAAGTTCGAAGTAATGGCGGAAAACGAACTGAAATGGTACGATATCTTGAGGCTTCTTTTTTTAACCATTTTAAGCATTGCCGACCCCATCACCGATATTCTTACACTGGTGCAATTCTACCGCGCAGATCACAAGACATGGTTCGGTGTGGGGCTTACATTCATTATTTTGCCAAGTTTGTATTTTCTTGTTTTTAACTTCTTTCTTCACGCGATGACAAGAATGCTTGAAAAAGACTGGGGCCAGTGGGAGGCTTGGGAATGCATACAAGTTATAGTCCTTGGATGCAATCCCTTCCTCCCGGCCTGGCTGAAACTTCGAACGCTTTATTGCTGCCTGAAGAAGAAGTTAACAAAACTCTGGCAAGGTAATATAAACAACAACGGTGAAACCGATGAAGACTTGGGTACGCTACTGCCGTTGAGCAAATTGGCTGTTCTGTCCGAGGCCGCTCTTGAATCAGCTCCTCAGTTTATTATCCAGTTGCATGCCATGGCTGTTCAACAGGAATCCGCGGCGATCGTTCAAATAGTTTCCCTATCTTTATCTTTCCTTAGCATCGTTTGGGCGTCTACTGTTGCTGATGAGCTAATTCACACTGAACTCGAACACGGAAGCCTCAAATTCAGTGTAAAAGATAAAGTTCTACTCTTCGTAACGCACATAATTATTTTAAGCAGTCGACTCTTTGCAGTTGCTTTGTTCACCGTAAGCTTCAAGTGGTGGGTTATCAGTGTTTTGATCCTTCACAGTACGGTGATAACAATATCTGGCAGAGGTTGGCCTTGTACAACAAAAAGCTTTAACTGCTACGTCGGCCATTTTCAGTGGGTTATGTTTTTCGGCGTCCATTGGCTACGAGATGATTTGTCGTTAATTCAGGAAAAAAAGAAACATTTAGGAAGAATACAGTTGGTCTCCAACGCGCTATTTGTGATAGAAAACATCGCCATGGTCCTGTTGTTTTATTTCAGTCATTTCCCTCACTCCTGGTACTCCTTACCAGTCATCATCTGTGTCTGTTTGTTTGCTGTTCTTGGAGCCGTAATGAGGCTTACTCTCTTCTCTTTCAAAACGAAGGAATCAGATGGTCGCGGAGCCAGGAGTAACCAACCATCAGAGGCACTGAGTGGCACTCTTAAAAAAGCCGGCCCTCTGAGGTTGCAGCAATGTATATATGAAACGTCGGTATAAATAGGCTGACTTTGTATAGTACGTCTCAAGTTAATATGTGATCGGTGATAATGTTGGCTGAGACCGTGTATAATGTTTAAGAACCGCAACAAGGAAAAGTACAGCACTGTGCAAAAGAAATGCAAACAAAATTTGCCGAAATAAGCGAAATTACGCGAATTTCGGCAATCAAATTGCGAACTTTCGCTTCAGACGAAAAAGCGGCGAAATTTCGGTGCTTCTATTGTTCTAATGTCGGCGAAATTTCGCAAGAAAGGTGATTAATCGAAACGAAATTTCGTGCCCGTTGGACGAAATTTCGTGTCATTAGAACGAAGTTTCGCTTCGACGAAGCGAAATTTCGTTTCGGCGAAACGAAATATCGTTTGCACGACACGAAATTTCGCTTTCATGAAACGAAATTTCGTCTTTCAAGAATTTGTAGCTGACCACAGAATAACTGTAATCATCACCTCATGCAAAAGTACAGGTACATGTAAGCGTGATCATTGTAGCAAAAAGAAACATCGCAACGATTGCTACAATTGTGGAGAGGTTTTGAGGCAGAACGGTGCTTTTTGACTCGTAACATTTTTTTACTTCTTTTTGAACATAATTTTGTTTTAAACGTCTCGCTAGCTAATACATGTATTTCTGCAATTAGCTTGAAGTTATCTATTGCGTGCTGATACACTTTATAATAAAGCTTAATGTAGAATAAATAAAGAACAAAACATTCTTGTTACAGATTTGTCTTATTTTAATTCGGTTCGCCCGCGCCGCTTCTGTACGGTGATAAAAGAAAATCGCCAAACTACAGTGTATTTTGTGTGGCGCTGTTTAATTACTGTGCATGTAAACTATTTATCTTCCTTTACCGATGACTACGCGAGGCAAATGCACTAAGCTAGCCGATCAGTTTTCAGACCCAAAAGATCGAGACATTTGCAACAGATGCTTTCACGCGCGCACGTGCTGTGAGTAAGTTAAATTTCAACATAGTATACTACTGTGCGAACACCGTAAACCAGATAGTCCAATCAATAATTATTAGCCTTTCAGTGAGGATTAGTTTATTGGTTATTCGGACTTATTTTATCTTTGAGCCAAATGAAATTTCCAGGTTATTAATAAACAATTTGCTTTTGACGTACATGAAAAGCCTCACCTCTAAGGCCGCGCGTGCGACTGAAGTCTAAAGAACAATAAACTACTTTGAGAACTCAGTTAAGTTTATTTGTTGTTCGGGCTATATGGCTCAGGGTATTTAGACCAGAATAACTGGAAACGGGATATTATTTTAATTACAAGAGAGCCAAATGAGAGGGTGTGAATGGGGTTAACCGACTAGCGACAAAGGGCGAAAAATATTACTGACTACCGACAAAACGAGTAAAAAATTACCGACTACCGACAGGAAAAATATTAACCGACTACCGACATGGGCTGACATTATCAATACTTGTTTCAGAAAAAAGAGCATTTTGTATTTTTTTTCTAGCCGTTAGGAAGTAACCTCTTTAAATTTATGACTCACCAGATGATCTAACAGAAAGAACTTCCTCTTTTGTTGATACGGGTACATAACTACAACTAATATCATAATCACAGAAGCTAACCTTAAATATGCTACCGACTTTATAAATTTTATTGAAAAGACAAAGGTGAAAAAACTGAACGTTTCTTGTTTCGGTTCGAGAAATGCTTAGATTAATTCTCTAAGAAAATTCTTTCCAGTTTAATGGAAAGCACTATCAGTAAAAAACCACGGTACCGCGATGAGCACATACAGCAGTTTCCTTTCCACGTCACGTTTCCGTAGCTTATGATTGTGTTTGGCCTGTCAACACCGAATTTCCTGCTGTTTGATGAAGTACAATAGCACCGTCATTTGCTCGTTGTGATTGGCTCCCCCACTAACGGCGCATGAATTCTCCCCTGGGAACCGTTCTTATTATAAATCTACTCGGGGGAGGGTTGACTCGAAGAGCTTGTATGGGAGATGGAGGCTCCGTTTGATGGACTCCTGCTTTCCAACATTTTCATGGCCGCATATATTGAAACAAAAAGTTTAAGCAAAACCGTCTTTAAACCAACTGTTTGAAAATGCTACATAGACGATATTTTTTCGCTAAGGGACATAAACCAGACATGGTAGATTTCTTCAAATTCACGGAACAAGTAAACTTACTTCTCACACTTCACCCTACTGCTCTACTGGCTATGAAATTTACGGCCGAAATATCTGACACTGAGACAATCTTTTTAGACCCGGTTGTATACCAAGGCACAACATTCAACGAAAAATGAGAAAAAGCTATCATTGACATAAAGACGCATTTTAAACAGAAACCTTCCAGTATATACATTTTCACCTCTTACCACCCAATTATTGTTAAAATGGATTTGACAAACGAGAAGCCTTGTCTATATTACGAACAAACTCCTCTGAGGAAGTATTTCAGATTTCCAAAAGCGGTTGATGGACAGAGGCTGGCCACACAATTTTGAAAGAAAAATTGCTATTAGAAGTAAAACTCACAGAAGGAAAGCAGCGCTCCTGAAACAAAACAACAAGGAAGAAAAAGAAATATTGCCTTTCGTGACACAATACAAGCCCTTAGTGTCTATTATAAAAGAAGCCTTAATGAAAAAGTGTAATCTCATACAAAACCAACCACTACCTTGCCAACTTAACCCACGGACGTACACGCAAAATCATACCCCCCCCCACCATGATACAAGAGGACGGTCGATGGAAGCCCTCCCCAGAGGTTTTGATATGTTGCCGTATTTCCAAGCGATTTTGCCTTCACTGAAAAGCCTTTGATCTTCTTAACAAGATGAGGTATATTTTATGAATGGTGGCGCTGCTGGAGGCCTGTTACGTCACCAACAATGGTCGCCATCTTCGCCGCCCTTACAAAGAATTAGAAATCAGGTTAAAACAACGAGACATGGTAATTGCTTGACATGAATAATAACACATAAATAAGCATTTTGCATGATTTTAGCTACGAGATTTATCTTTTATTGTTGAAAAAAGTTGAAAAAAAACGTACATTTTCACTCATAACGGCTTGACCACCTGCTACTTATTACGTCATACCTCGTAACCATAGAAATTGATCATTACTGAACTTGTCTCAAAATGCGTGCGAGGGATAAACGAACATCTACTGAAAACGTCAGGTGCGGACGTTTTATCCTCTAGGAAAAATCTCAGAAAAACATAAAGGGGGGAGGGTGGCATCCAACCCCCCCCCCCCTCACCCCTTGTACGTCCGAGGGTTAAAGTGTTATTTCTTTGAGAAAGGAAAATTATGGCAAAGGACATGCTTGTTAGAGCCAAAACATTAAAGGTATAGATATGCAGCCTGTCACCCCTTGCAGTTTTTCACTAAGAATACTGAATTTAGTCCAAAAGGCTGGAGTCCATTACTGAAAGACTAATTTTACCTCTTTTCTGGCGTTCAAAACAGCGTGATAGTTTTAAATCGGCCTCTTCTAATTCCGCCATATTTAAATTTTACCGCTGGAAAATCGGCGGCTAGACATTTTTTCCATGCACACCCCCTTTTTGACCATATTTAGAAGAACAGCGTTTATAGGGTGGAGGAGGTGTCGGTTCGGTGGTAGTGTGGTGAGGAGCTGATGGGCTTGCAAGGCGATTCTGATTAAGAAATCAAACTCAAACACTTATATCAATATGAATATCAGCAGCTGTCTTAATCAGGGTTATTGTTTACTCTCCCTCTTTTAAATTAACAATTCGTTACTATTTCATTTTTCCTAAAAAATGCAAGAGCGTACTGTATTTTCTGAGGCGGATCTTGTCGGGGGGGAGGGGTGGTGAGGGGGATTTGATCAAACTTCAAAATAAAAACGGCTAACGTCAAAATCAGGGCTGGAGGTTTTCCTACCAGCACCAATTTGAGTTTGCATTCATTGTTGGACCTTGCTTAAACCGGGAAACCTTGCAACTTTCTACAAAACTTTACGAAATCAGTGCATGAAGAGTGAGGACTTTTTAAACCGAAGCAGTTGTATATTTAAAAGGTTTCTCTTGTTAATATTTATACTGTTTTCTTTGCAACCTGAATTTTTTATTACCCTGGCTACTGTGGTTTAGCACGTCAGATACAAGACCTTAGCCTTCAAAATAGGACTAGAAGGATTTTGTCGCGTCCGTGAGCTAACTGGTCGCCGTGAGTCATGTTAATGTACTTTTCGTCTTTCCAGCAGATCCGGATTACAGTTATGTGAGGCTTAATTTAAAGGGGAACTAGTTCTACCTGCTGATCTGCAAGCTAAGTTATAAAGAGCTTGAGTTGGAGAAGAGTGTCAGAACCAGTTTAAACATATATACTATTTCGATGAAGTTGTACAAGCCGTATCGGTTAAAATAAAACAAATTTGAGATTTCTTCTTTTAATATGGTTGCCTACATGAATTACATATCAGCTATAGCGTTTGACCAATTCTTGAAAGACATAATAAAAATTTACATATAATATACATTTGCTATAGTTTTGTAACCTTGATGGTAATTTCCCTCAAACATAACTGCTACTTTTTCCTACAAATCTCCTATTATCCCCCGACCCCCCTGGGCAAAAAAATAATGCCCTGTCCCTCAATCTTTGCCGACCCCATCCCGTATATAGAACCTTAAAGATCTGGTAATTCTTGCAATGATGCTTCAAGAAACTTTGGAGACCATTTGGGCCTGTAAACTTAAAAAAGAAGACTTAGATGCGTTGTATACTAAGTTGGGGGTCTAAATGGCATTGACTGTTTTTGTAAAATAAACATGTGACAAGATGGGTTGCATAGTTTGCCACAGAAGGGATAATAACTAGGATATAAGAAGTTTTATATATCAGTATCCCTGCGGGTTTTCTTTTCCCTTGGGAAGAAAAGAGGAATACATACGGCCAACTATCTCTAGGGCAGGCACCTTTAGGACCAGCCGTATTATGTGTCAGTTCTGGGGTGGTTTCCATTTGTCACAGCTGACCGGCCGGAGCATTCCAGTCCAGTGGCGGATCCAGGGGAGGGGCCCGGGGGCGCGCCCCCCTAATTTTTAGACCAAACTGAGACCAGAAGAGCCGAGAATGTTTTTTTGGAGACCGCCCCCCCCACCCCTTATGCCGGGGTCTTGATGACCGGGCCCCCTTATCTGAAGGTCTGGATCCGCCACTGCAGTCATAATGAGAACTTCACCTTTAATCAAAATCAGCCAGATCCCAAATAGCATGCATGAGAGAAATGGCGTTTCAACAAAAATTCGACCTTGGAATAGAGGTTTTTTCATTGTCAATGACTGATCTTGTTATGGTCTGGCCGGCCCGGCTCTGACTTTTGGAAAGCGTCCTTAAAGAAATGTTCATCTTATAAAGCGAACAAAGCCGACAGGGCCAACTCTAAATGTCCGTTTAAGCAAGCTGTACGTCTATATGGAGGTGCGTGTTAAGAGAGATCTGAATATCTTGCCAGTCTAGATCTTTGTTACAGATGCTAGTTCCCTTATCATGTGACCTTCAAACTAACATTCCTCATGAGCTGAGTTTGTTGTCTGTGACAGATATTCGACTCCCTTTTAAATCCACTTCAATGCGAACTCTCGGCTGTCTTTCACTCTGAGTAGTTTTCCATTTAAAACCGCACATGACCATAATGAATGTAACTCAGTAAGGGTCAGACTGTTCACACAATATCCAATCAATACACAGCTACTACATCTCAGACAGGAAGCGTGAGTCATTCAAAGAGGTCGAAGCAGTGGGGGAAAAAGGACTCAAATGGTGCGACATCTGCTTGGCTCTTTTTGGAACCATTTTATTTTTAAGCTTTGGAGACCCCACCGCTGATATTCTTACACTGGTGAAATTCTACCGCGCAGATCACAAGAAATGGTTCACTGTGGGGCTTGTATTTATTATTTTGCTATGTTCTCTTTATTTCCTAGTTCACTGCACATTCAATTTATACAAAGACTCGTCCCGCAATTTCAAACGGATTCTCACACGAGCGTTCCGTTTTGGTGTTCATCCATTCTGTCCAGCCTTGGTGAAACTAAAAATGCTTCCCTGCCTGTGTCTTTTCTCAGCTTGGCTCGTGCTTCCGTAGTTGCTGATGAAGTCTTTCACTATGATGATAGGAGAAAAAATGAGCTGAATATGAGAAATAAACTTGTACACTTTGCAACGAATTTATTAGTTTTGAGCAGTCGACTCTTTGCAGCTGCTTTGGTGACTGCGAGCTATAATACAGGGTTGTGGGTTTTCTTTATTTTCGCGTTTCATTACATTCCGATACTAAAATGTGATTTAGTTTCGCTTCATGTTTCAGGCAAAGATCGTGAGGGCGGAATTAACCTGAAGTCATTTGTTTACGTTTTCTTATTCCACTGGCCAATACAAGCTATCAGACTATAATCTACCCTCGTTTTATAATGCTGCAATCTCGACGGGATTACTATACAAGCCATTTGTGTTTTTTTTCAGACGAGATGAAGTGTCAAAACATCGATATTCCTCTGTCATGGGATTAAAAGTTGATACTTACGGGAATGATCGATCATGTATACCTCTCTCAATACTCGACACTTTATAAACCCGCGTAGCAATCCTCTCAGTTTCCTTGTAGCAAGCGGGAGAAGCGCTCGAGACGCGTGAGAGCAAGAAAAAAAAATCCTCGTGCTTCTTGTGCGCTAAGTCTCTTTTTACTTGGTTAGTGCGGCGCTTATTTAGGGGCACCCAACGACTGTTTTCTGTGAAATATCTGTCCGGAGAAGCAAAACTTGTCTAGAACTTTCTATAGCTTGAGGAAGGCTAAAAACCTTTCCATTCAAGTACAATTTTCGAAGCTTATCTAACAAATTCCCTACAATTTTCTGAAGCTTAATTGTCTCCCACCTAACATTTTCGGAATCGAAAATGCGATGCAGAGAGCAGAGAGGAATCACAAAAATTCTCACTTTCCTAAAACTTTAGATTACAGCTAAAATTTTCTGGAAAATAATACTCTGAATACTGAAGCCCTTGTATTTTAAAAAGGATTTAAGTTGCCCAAGGATCACCGAAAAGATATAAGTTTTTTAGCGCCACTTAGAATACATTTTTAGCGATCTAAAAGTACTCTGGATAGCCTAAAAAGTTTTTTCAATGTATTTAGGACTATATGTCGTTGGGTGCCCCTGCTTATTCCAGGGCAGCGTACTCGTCTCCTGAGACGAATTGGTCATGGTGGATTCCGTTTTTTAAATATTACGAATCTCCTGGAAAGATAAACTATACTAAACTTTTAAAATTAATGTTTTTACTACCGTCGCGATGCTTTGATTTTGATCACACATAACTCGCTAGTTTTTTATGTGTTCAATGAAAATGTGTCCCAGAAGACACTGGCTGTACTTCCGACGTTTCTTTGTCAGTTAATTAAAATAGCTGAATTTCTGATTAAAACTGAACGGAAGATATGCAAGAATACGCAAAACATTTTGCTCGATGGATGTTATCAACGTTTTGAGGACTATCTACAAGAAAATACATCTTTTTATATTTTGAAACCGGGCCGAGAAATAGGCCAAACTTTTAAAAAAAATTCTACAAGGAGGTAAGCTTCTTATTAAGAACAAACATTTTCCATCAATAATAAAACAAGTATTGAATATGGCTTTTTGACGCACGTCAATTGGAAGTATAAAGGTCTCGTCCGTTCTAATATGCCTTGACGGTACCAAATTTGTATTGCTAAGTGTTTTTACTCTTATAGAAACGACTTGCCCAAAAAGTTGGGCAAAACTACCGCACACGAAGCACAACTTCCAGACCCTTGCTTGAGCTCCATAGTAACTCAAAATGAGTGCATTCTACGGGTCACAGTCAGTTTGTAAATTAACCTATCAATGCGTAAAGCGGCCCAGACAAAAGTTCTCTCTAGAATTTAAGAGTCATTAAGAAAGGTCACAGCAATGGTGGAAAACGACATCAAACTGCACGACATATTTTTGATCGTTTCCGGAATCATTTTAGGCTTTGCCGACCCCATCACTGATATTCTCACACTGGTGGAATTCTACCTCGAGGATCACAAGAGATGGTTCGGTGTAGGCCTCACTTTCGTCTTTTTGCCCTGTTTTGTGTTTTTACTGACTTATTATGTTTTAAAAAGATCTGAATTGAAAAAGGTCAGCATTGCTAGGAGGTGCCCGCAAGTTATCCTTTGCGCTGCAAATCCATTCTTTCCAGCCTTTCTAAAACTGCAAACACTGTTTTCCTACCTGAAGAAATTTACGAATTTCTGGCGTGGCAATAAAGTTTCAGGAATGGATTCAGGAAATAGTGACAAAGAAGCTGATGATGATCTATTGCATCAGAGCAATGTCGCGCTTCTGTTTGAGGGTACTCTTGAATCAGCTCTTCAGTTTATTATTCAGTTGTACGCCATGGTTGTTCAACAGCAATCCGTGACGATCGTCCAAATGGTTTCCCTGCCCGTGTCTTTCCTCAGCTTGGCTTGGGCGTCTACTGTTGGCGATGAGTTCATTCACTACAATGCAGGTGGCGCTAACGCGGGGCGAAATTTAATCCCGGGGGTACTTGCAGAAAAATTGGGTAGGGGTGTGCGGCCCGCTTCCCAAAACCCTTACCCTATTTATGACCAAAATCTGCGATTTTCCCTACCCTATTTATGACCTAACCAAAAATTTGATACCCTATTTATGACCTGACCCTTAAATCAATACCCTGTTTCAGACCTGCCTTATAATTATTTCCCTAGTTCAGACCAATGTTAAAGGCAATGTTTATCTGCTTTTATTAGGTTAGGGGGACACGATAAGGAAGTAGCTTCTTCTAAAAAAGTGCATTCAAGACTACAGTGCAAAAATCGTTACCCTATTTATGACCAAAATGGCAGCAAAATAGCCAAAATCGATACCCAATTTATGACCAAAACGGCTGAAAAACCCTACCCTTTGGGGCCGCACATACCTATATAGCCCATATTAGGGAGTACCCCCCCGGGAATTTAATACACAGACTACTTCGCTTTACAACGCATGTATCCCTTTTGAGCAGTCGACTGTTTGCCATTGCTTTGTTCAACGTACGTTACAAGTGGTGGATTACCAAAGTTTTGATTCTCCATTCTATGGCGATAGTGGTCTGTGGTATCATCTGGTTTTATCCCCGAACACTGTGTAATGCCAAAGCACTGGAAGATGCACGTTTAATAGCTTCCCATTTCTGCCTTCATTGGCTGCGAGATGACATAGCAGTTAGAATACATGAGGTACCAAGAGAAAATCGAAAGAAAGAACTGAGAATTATGCAGTTGTTTTCCAACGTACTGTTTGTGATAGAAAACATCATCATGATCCTGTTGTTTTATTTCAATCATTTCCCTCACACCTGGTACTCCTTACCAGTCACCATCTGCGTCTGTTTGTTTGCTGTTCTTGGAGCCATAATGCTGATAATGAGACTTGCTCATTTTTCTTTTTTATCGAAAAAGTTAAATGATGATAGTGATGACTTTTCTTAACTAACTTGCTAATAATTACTCTTGTAGCCTAATCTAATTCGAGAGAGTTCTAATATCAGTTGGGACGAAAGTTCAGTTCTCACCAGCCACAGAGTAGTTCCAAAGCTGAGAACCATGCAAATGTTCTAAAGCGTTCTGTTTGCGATGGGAAATATTTTTCTTTCCGGGTTCGGAGCAATTCCAGTCACTGTTAACGAAGGAATAAAAACATGCTGACGAAGTAGTTAGTCATTTTACCGCAATCGAGACGCTGGAAAATGAAACGATAGGTGACAGTATGAACTTGGATTGGAACACCTCAAATTAGTTGTGCATGATCTGTGATCATAATGTATTCCGACTCAGAGCAACCGTATTAATTCTTCTTACATTGATTTACTGTGGTTTTTTTTTTTTTTTACCGTACTTGTACAAGTTTATTTTTAGTAATATTGGCGAATTCATTAGTCTAAACTAGACCAAACTAAACTGGACTAGACTCGCACTCGGTAGACTAGACTTTACTATATACAAAACCAAACTAGTAAGCAGAAAATAAACTTGTAGCTCTCTCTAAGTACGTACCGAAAATAAAACTCTAAATCGCTGTTTATCGAGTCATTTTTTCTTGTATACTTGATCATGCATCTAGTCTACATGTATATCAAATAAATAGGAACCTTCTGTGGTTTTTTCAGTTTTTCACATGGATCAGTTCGCGAAAATCCGTGGACACCACTTGAAAGAACGCCTTAAAATTAGTAAAACTGCCAAATTTAAAAGTTACGCGTCTTAAGCGAACGAAGATATAGCGACTGGGGAGGCAAAGTGTCGAAAATGTACAAACGTTTGTATTGGAAGGGGGTGGTATAATGTTTGTGCCCCCACGCAGTAAGTAAGGTGGAAGAAAGACACTGACTTTCACAGAAATGGTTTATACCATAAAAAACATCGGGCGGGGGGGGTCCTGATGACCAAGCCAACCCCAGTGGAGCTGAATTAGGAGTCACGGAGCAACAATACATGCTAGGCGAAACATCTCTAATGACGACAGTACGTAATCGTATGTGCCAAGAGTTATGTCACGTAACTTTGTAAGTTTTGTTTCCTTAACGAATAGACGTAAACTTTTGTTGTCATGCTAGCGAGGAACAGAGGCAACACAATCAAAATCATCTTGGTCTTATTCTATGAAACTTCTCTTCATACTCAGAGGAAATTCTTCGCCAAACTTTTCAATTTGTGACTTTCGCTTACTCGGAATCGGCGTCTTACAAAGTGCTTATTAAAAGCAATGTTTTCACACATGTAGCCATCGTACGGACACGTTAAATTATATCAGGCAGGTCAGCCGAACTTTAACAATGGTTTCAAATCAATACTTCAGTGGGCAGGTAATGAATTCAAATATTGGCTTAGAGGTGTATATCCAATAGTCTAGGCGATCTTGTGGGAGAGGCGATGGTGAGCCGCTTGAATTCAGAAATGATTTTCTGATACCAGATTATTTTAGACCGCGACGTTAAGAAACCTCAAGTTATCACAGCTTTTAACAAAACAGAAAAAATGAACTTTTTATACAGTCCTTAATGAGCTATTACAATGGCAACATACGTGTCATGAGCCACAAAAACGCCCCGGGATCAAAATTATGATAATGCTCTGTTTTCCGTGAAAATTTTTAGACAAAACAAATTTGACAGAGACAACTTTGGTTTAAAAGTTCTTATCCACGAAATTCCGCGTTGCCTTCAGCATAAGCGGAACACGGTTTCTAATGTTAGCCGCACACCAGCTCCACTCTTAAAACACGGTTTGAAAATGTTTTTCATGAACATTTTAGGTTTGTTATAGTGTTTCAACTAAGGGTCTTCATGGGGTGAAAACGCAAAAGAAGAAATTGAAATTGTCCTCCCCCCCCGGCAAATAGAAAACTGTATCCCCCAAATTTCAACTGCTTTTGTAAATCGTATCCCCTACCGGACCCTCCCCCGTAGATATAATCAACCAGAGGCGCTTTCTATTCAATTAAAAAATTCCGGTTTCTTCAAATTTTAGAAATTTCAGGTGCCCCGAAAGAAACGGTAGATTACGACCCAATTCAAGGTACCGAGCGTTTGGTTATCGTTCTTGTAAGGAGGACACCGAAGAGCGGTACTAGCCCGGGGGGCGGGCACTGCCATATATGGGCTATATAGGTATGTGCCGCTGTGAAGGGTATGGTTTTCAAGCAGTTTACTCTAGGATAGGGTATATAAATCAGAGCGTTTGGGTCTAGAATAGGGTATCATTTTTCAGGAAACTGATCAGTTGGTTGAAGATTTTATCTAGACTAGGTAAACAGCTACTCTAGGATAGGGGGATTTGGGGAGTTTACTCTAGTATAGGGTAGCAAAATTCAGCTGAACTAGCTCTGGTATAGGTTAAGGGTTCCAGGGTCCCAGCGGCACATCCCCACCCAGAAATTCCTAAAGTGCCCCCCCCCCCCGGGGGTACTAGGTATAACGATTTGGCAAATGGAAAGGAACCCAGTAGGACCGATCAAATTGGACCATTTTCAAAGGTGTTCCCAAATATTCCGGTCGGACCGAACCGAAATGATCCGTTCCATTTGATTTCTAACCCGGAGAAATTTCCGGAATTTTGGGCAGAATGAAAAGCACCCAACAGTCTCTTGTAATGATTTATGATCACATGTCACTGGGTAATTTGTTTAAAAATTCTCTTTTGTATAAAAACTGCCCTTCACTACGAATTCCCATTTTACTTCAATAAGTGCATTTTATGGGTCACATAGTTCACAACTTGCCCAAACATGATAAACACGAGTCAATGAGACAGGACGATCTTTATTGTTTTGTGCAGTCAGCAGCTGAGTCAGAAAGGTCGAAGTAATGGCGGAAAACGAGCTCAAATGGTACGACATCTTCGTGGTTCTTTTTGGAACCGTTTTAAGCATTGCCGACCCCATCACTGACATTCTTACACTGGTGGAATTCTACCGCACAGATCACAAGACGTGGTTCGGTGTGGGGCTTACATTCATTATTTTGCCAAGTTTCTTTTTTCTTTTAATTAACTACGATATAAACGAGGATTCATGGAGTGATGATGCAGAGTGCCAGTCTAAGGCTTGCAAACTCACACATATTTTAGTCCTTGGCTTCAATCCACTCCTTCCGGCCTGGCTGAAACTGCGAATGCTTTATTGCTACCTAAAGAAGTTACTAAAACTCTGGCAAGGTAATAACATCGATCAAACGGATGAAGACTTGGATGATCTACTGGGGTTCAGCAAAGTCGGTGTTCTGGCCGAGGCCTCTCTTGAATCAGCTCCTCAGTTTATTATTCAGTTGAACGCCATGGCTGTTCAACAGCAATCTGTGTCGATCATTCAAATGGTTTCCCTGCCTGTGTCTTTCCTGAGCATTGCTTGGGCGTCTACTGTTGCTGATGAGTTTATTCACCATGACATGTACAAGGGACACCTCAATTTCAGCGTGAAAGATAGAGTTCTACTTTTTGTAACGCACTTATTTATTTTAAGCAGTCGACTCTTTGCAGTTGCTTTGTTCACTGTAAGCTATAAGTGGTGGGTTACCAGTGTTTTGATCCTTCACTGTACGGTGATAACGATATGTGACAGAGTTTTGTTTCATACAGCACAAAGCGCTGACGACAACATCACACGATTTCTGTCGGTTATGTATTTCTGCCTCCATTGGCTACGAGATGATTCAGTGCAATTAATTGGCGACTACGCCTACGCCGGATCTCCGTTGATCTCCAACGCGCTGTTTGTGATAGAAAACATCACCATGATCCTGTTGTTTTATTTCAGTCATTTCCCCCACACCTGGTACTCCTTGCCAGTCACCATCTGCGTCTGTTTATTTGCTGTTCTTGGAGCCGTAATGAGACTTACTCACTTCTATTTTTTATATAAGGAGTCAGATGATCAAGTAAATAATACCGATCGAGTGCAGCAGCAATCGCATAGTAATTCCGTCGAGGTTGCAGCAACATAAAACGGAGGTAAATCATAGTCTGATCTTGTATTGTTACGTCTCATGTTTGTATGTGATCTGTGACATTATGTAGGCTAACTATAATGCTTAAGAGTCGCAACTGGGGA